GCCTTTTTCCTTGCTCACCAGCCACCCAGCAGGGTCCAGAGAAGGTCCAGCTTGTGCACTGAATGAGGCAGGGGTGTTGTGGAAAAACTGTCTGTGATAATGTCATTAATGCCTGTAGTGTGATGCAGGAAGGCTAGAAATGTATAAATGCCTGGCCTAGCTACCTGCCCTATCTCCCCATGTGGAACTGAGGCACTGGAAGTAGGGGTGCAAGGGGTGGCAACACCCCTTGGCTTGACGTAGCTTCTGTCACACACAGATTTGCAGTTATGTTCTTTGGCTTTCAGCATCCCCGTTATAAAAATTGTTCTAGGGCCCTTGCTTGGAACCCTGCAAACATTTAAGGGGCATCTGTGGGGCATCTGTGGGAGCAGAGGGAAGGAGCCTGGGGCTGGGATAGCAGGGAGCTGGGGGTGCGGGGTGAGATTGAGGGGCACCAGCGGAGCTGCGTGTGTGTGGAGGGGGAGCTCAGGGGTGGGATAGCAGAGGGCTGGGCATCAAGCTTGAGGGCACCAGTGAGGCCAGGGCCAGGATAGCAGGCAGCTGGGTGTTGAGATTGAGGCAGGGGTTGGCAACGTGTCCTCACATGGACACGAGTGTCCATGGTAAAAATGTTGAGGTCCATGGGGGCACTCACCTCGGGTGGCTCCCCATCTCTGCTGTTGCTGGTGAAGGTACCCTGGCCAATGGGAACTGCAGGGGCAACACCTGCAGACGGGGCAGTGCTCAGAGCCACCTGGCCGCACCTCCATGTAGGAGCCGGAGGGGGGACATGCCGCTGCTTCCAGGAGCTGCTTGAGGTAAGCACTGCATGGAGCCTGCACCCCTCCCCCTCTCCCACACTCCAACCCCCTGCCCCATCCCTGATCCCCCTCCCGTCCTCTGAACCCCTTGATCCCAGCCTGGAGCACCCTCCTGCACCCCAAACTCCTCATCCCCATCCCCATCCCAGAGCTTGCACCCCCAGCTGGAGTCCTCACACACCCCAACCCCCTGCTTCAGCCTGGCGCCCCCTCCTGCATCCTGAACCCCTCATTTCTGGCCCCACCCTGGAACCCGTACCCCTAGCACAGAGCCTGTACCCCCTCCCACACTCCACACCCCAACCTCCTGCCTCAGCCCAGAGCCCCCTCCTGCCCCCTGCCAATGTCCGTCACTAAGTCTGGTAATTTTGTCAAGTGTCCGTTGCACAACGTGGCGGTGCTGACCCATGGACTGAGGGGCACCAGCAGAGCTGGGGGGGTTGGTTGGAGCCCAGGGCTGGGCTAACAGGCAGCTGTGGGTCACAGCAAGGAGACCCAGCCTTCTCCAAGCTCCCATTCCCCTGTCAGACAGGGCAGGTGGGGCTGGTGCGTTGTTCCCGCGCTCAGTCACAGACTGGTTCTGTACTGTGTTGTGGAGGGGAAGGCAGCCACCCGGGCTGGCGTCAGGTGTAAAGTAAAACAAAACTTGAATAATACATTTCATTCTAATTAAAATTATTGCTCATATGAATCATCATGTAATTACACCAGATTATGAATATTTAATTAACCCAAAAACATGCTCAGAAATCTGCAAACGAGTTCCCCACCTCCATATGAGGGAAATTTCTGATCTCTTCGAGGGGCCTAATGTCTGTGATATGGTGCCTGTGGCCCTCAATCCCTTCTTGCAGCCCAGATAGCTCCGCTTTGGGCCCCTTCCCATCTCTGCCAGTGCCCCTCAACCCCAACCCACAGCTCAACCAGAGCTCTGAGTCCTGACTAGAGCTCCCTGACGTCCCAGCCCTGGGCACCCGACTCCGCAGCTCTGCTGGTGCTCCTCAGGGCTCCAGAAGATTGGGAGCGATGAGACCAGGCAGCTGAGAATGGCCTGGCCTAGTGCCGTGCAACACAAATGCGGAGGGGTATGTGTGTTGGTGGACATGGCTGGGGCGTGAGTGTGTGTACAGGGTACATGTATATAAATTGTTGTGGCAGAGGGGGTGTATTTGTGAAGATTCGGGTAAGGGTGCTTGTGTATGGTTCATTGAGGTGTTTGTGTGTTTCCAAGCACAGTAGCGCTGCTATCCATTTGTCTGGCTATGCGTCAGTGCACCACGTGTATGTATAGGGGTGGTTGTGCAGAGTGTGTGTGCTTCAAAGGGGGTTGTGTGTTTAGAGACAATAGGAGTATCTGCAGTGTGACATTGCAGGTGTTATGTGTAGACAGGTGCTTGAGTGCATTTGAGTATGGAGGGAAGTTGTAGGGTGTGTGTGCATGTCCACATTCTTAGTTTCTATGGCCAGAAGGGACCCTGTCGTCATCTACCCTGACCTCCTATATAACAGACCAAAGGTGCCCTGAATTAATTCCTGGCTGAACTACTGCAGATCTTTTAGGAAAAACATCAGATCTTGATTTAAAAATTACCAGTGATGGAGAATCCACCACGACCCTGGTAAATTGTTCCAGTGGTTACTTCCTCTCACTGGTAAACATTTGGGCCTTATTTCTAGTCTGAATTTGTCCAGCTTCAACTTCCAGCCCTTGGCTATTGTTAGACCTTTGTCTATGAGATCAAAGAGCCTGTTATCAAATTTCTGTTCCCCCTGTAGGTACTTACAGACTGGGATCAAGTCAACCCCTTAACCTTTCTTCATTAAGCTTAATAGACTGAGCTCCTTGAATCTCTTGCTATAAATTTTCCAATCCTTTAATCATTCTCTTGGCTTTTCTCTGAACCCATGAACACTCTTATCCAATTTATCAACCTCCTTCTTGAATTGTGGGCACCAGAACTGGACACAGGATTCCAGTAATGTTCACAATAGTGCCACATACGGGGGTAATAGAACCTTCCTTCTCCTACTCCAGATTTCCCTGTTCATCCATCCTAGGATCTCATGAGTCCTTTTGGCCACAGCATTGCACTGGGAGCTCATGTTCTGCTGATTATCTTCCATGACCCCCAAGTCTTCTTCAGAGTCACTGCCCCCAGGATGGAGGTCCCCATCCTGTCAGCATGGCCTACATTCTGGGTGCCTAGATGTATAACTTTTCATTTGGCCATCTTAAACAGCATATTGTTTGCTGTGCCTGGCTTACCACTGTGTGTGTATGTGTCTGTACAGTGTTTGCAGAGTGTGCGTTCGTGTGTACAGCATCTGTAGAGTGTGTATACAGATCATAGTGAGGGGGTGGGCAGGTGGGGCTACTGTTTCTGTAGTGTAGTTGTGGTGTGAACAGCTACACAACCTACCATACTCAGCTCCCTCCACAAAGCAGCCCCCACACGTCAATCCCAGTATCCTCCACTCTCTCTCCTTGCAGTTCCCCCAGTCTTCCCACCCCAGTATTGCCATCCCCTCAAGATCCAGCTGGTATCCCCTCTCAGTTCCCCATGCCCCACCTCAGGGATTCCCTCCCCCCATTCCTGCCCCTCCTGGGAACCCAAAGCAATTAATGAAATAATGGAGAGAGGATCCTACTGGTGCGTGATGGAGGAGGATGGACCAAACCCTGACAGCATTGACCAGGGAGACCCCCCGCACTGAATCCCCCTGCAGGTGGCACAGGCTCCACCCCACAACCCAGCACAGACACACACACCCCATCTGACACAGACCCTGTAGCAAAGATTCCCCCTCATTACCCACCTGCCCCTGTAGAGAGGCAGGAGGCCACATGGATGTTTGTGTGTGCAAACATATATGGAGCCAGGCAATTACATGTCCTGCCCCCTGGTTATGGTTTTCTAAAGCCAGTCCCTTTGTGCACACAGCCACACCACTGTCTCTCCCATGCACACTTCCTTTTCTGTCACATTCACACACACACCAGCCCTTCCTTCTCACACTCACCCCTCCCAGTCTCCCTCATCTCTCTTTCACCCCTTCTCTGTCTGTCACACACATCCCCCTATCCCTGTCTTTATCACTCACATAAACCCTTTGGATCACATTCTCTCATCCACACAGTCCTCTCCCCAATCTCTCCCAAACACCCACCCACCCCGTCTTACCCCACCTTTTGTCTCTGTCTCTGCTCATATCCCATTGTCTGTCTCACACCCCCGCCCTTTCTCTCACATACACCCTCTCACACACTCACTCATACACACACTTCTCTCCCATCCTCTCTCTAACTCAGACTTAACCCCCCCCACCCATCTCACACACCTTCTTTGTCTCTGTCTCACACACACCTCTACCCCCCTCACCCACCCTTTGTCTCACACACACACCCCTCTCTGTCTCTTGCACACTCACACCCTCCTTGTCTCCCTCACCCTCCCCACCCCTCCCACAACATTCACCATTGTCTCTCTCACACAGCCCCTTTGTCTCTCATTCTGGCACCCCCCCTTCCATCTCTCCTTGTCTCACACACACTCCCATTCCCCTAGCCCCTCTTTATCTCACACACACCTCGCTCTGTGTTTCACACACCATTGTCACTGTCTCTGCCTCAAACCCTTTGTCACACTCAGAGACCCCTCCCTGTCTCACACAGACTACACCTCCGTCTCACCCATACACACTATCCATTGTCTGTTTTATACCCTTCCTGTCTCACACTCCTACCCCCTCATACTCACACCTATCCCTGTCTTACACCCTCACCAATCTCCCTGTCTCACCCCCTCTGTCTCACACCCCCATCTCACTCACTCATACTCACATCCATCCCTGTCTCACACACTCACCCCCTCCCTGTCACTCACCCCTCCGAGTCTCACACACTCACCCCTCCTTGTCTCACCCCCTCCCTGTCTCACCCCCCCTGTCTGTCTCTTACACACTCACCTCTCCCTGTCTCACACACACTACACCTCCGTGTCTCACCCATGCACACCATCCATTGTCTCTGGCTCACGCCCTCCCTGTCTCACGCTCATAGCCCCTCACACTCACCCCACCCACTCCCACTCCCACTCCCCCCTCCCTGTCTCACACTCACACCCCTCTCTCTGCCACATTCACACGCGGTTGCGCTTGCGCCCCGGCTCCTCCTCCCGGCTGGTTGCGAGCGGGGCCGGGGTTGGCAGTCGCGGCGGAGCCGGTCGAGAACCGGAGCAGGGAGCTGAGCGGAACTGAGGCGGGTCCCCGAGCCATGGGGCCCCGGGCTCCGCAGCGCTCCTAGGCGGGCGGGTCCGCCCGATTCCCCACGGCGGCGCCCCGAGCTCATGGGCGGCCGCACGGGCTGAGACCCCACGCCGGACGGGCTCGGAGGGACCCAGGCGTCCTGGCACCATGGCGTTCACCTTCGCCGCCTTCTGCTACATGCTCACCCTGGTGCTGTGCGCCTCGCTCATCTTCTTCGTCATCTGGCATGTGAGTGCGGGTGGAGGGTGGGGATCGGGATGGGGGTTCGGTGCTGGGGGGGGGTCGGGATGGGGGGATCCGGGCTGCGGGATGGGCGTGCTGGGAGGCTGCCCGTGTCCCTGTCAGGCCGCCTCCTCTGCCAGCCAGGCCCCCCGGAGATCGGGCCGGGGGCGGGGGGGATCCACCCCGTTCATGCTGCCCCGTTTCTGGGGTTCGGGCTTGTCTCGCTACTTGCTCCCCCCGCCCCCGCGTCTCTCGGTCCCTGGCTGACAGGCTTTGCCTGAGTCTCCGCTTTCAAGAATAGCAAGAACCGTGAATAATTCTGCAATGAAAGAGAGACAGAGAGTTCCCCTCTGCCCCCCGTCGCCCCCTGCCCCCATCACCCCGACACCGCACCAGCCCCAGTTCCCATCGCCCGGCTCCCCTTCTCACCAGCCCCTTGGCCCTGCGCCCTGGCTGCCCGGTACCAGTTTGGGGGTTGCTCCCCAGACCGGGCTGCTGGGAGGCGTTGGGCCGGACCGGGGCTCCCGTCAGTGTGTGCGCGTGTCTGTGTGTGTGTGTGTGTGTGTGTGTGTGCGCGATGCTGGTGCTGGTGGTGATATGGAGCCGACGTAGCTAAGAAACCCAGGGTTGGGGGGGCTGCCTGCGCTGCCCCCCAGAACCCCTAGCCCCCCCGTCGTGGCTCCCCACTGTGTCCCAGCTCCCCCGGGTCTCCCCAACTGCCTCCCATCCCCCTCCCGGTCGGATCTTCCCCAAACACCCTCCCCTCCGCAGCCCGATCCCTCTCTCCCAGTCCCAACCCCCTCCCGTGCAGGATCCCTCCTGCCCCCAGCCAGATCCCCCGTGGATCCCCCAAATTGTCCTCCGCTGGATCGCCCCCCCCCGTTTGTTCCACGGCTGCTGCATATCCCGGGCTCCCCGCGATGTAGCCCCCCTTCTCTCTCAGCCGTAGCTAGGGAACCCGGCGCTGGTTGCCATGGGAACTACATCTGTTTACAAGATGGGCTCTGGGTATCAATAACAGGGTGGTGGGTTTAACTCCTCTGGTTCTGGGCGGGAGGTCTCCCCATCGCTCCCCTTCCTAGCCCTGCACCCCCAGCTCCGCCAGTGCCCCTCAGCCCTGCCTTGCAGCTCCCCCTCCTACCCTTGCCTCGGTGCCCCTCAATCCCCATCTGCAGCCCCCTGCTATCCCAGCCTGGGCTCCCCCACACGGACACGGGTCTGGCTTGGCTTTCCACTGCATAGACAGCCTGGGCCTGTCTCTCCTGTATCCCAGATTACTGCCTCCTCATCCCTGCCCCCTCCCCATGGGCATCACAGCACAGCTGTGTCATCCCCCTTCTTGCCCACCCCCCACCCCCAGAGTGCCCAACTGCTTTGGCATTTGCCCCTGTCATGGGAGGGCTCCAACCACAGCTGTCTGGAGCAATGATCTTTGCAATAGTCAGGGATGAAAATATGGTTGTGGGTGTTGGGAGTGCGGGGCACCAGCAGGGCTGTGGGGTGGGGGAAGCCCAGGGCTGGGATAGCAGGGGGCTACAGGAGTGAGGGGCCCCAGTGGTGTTTGGGGCATAGGATGCATTTGAAACAGGGACCACTCCTGACTCCTGGCTAGAGGGGTCTGTCCCTGGCAGCAACGATCCAGGTGGGTCTGGGAGCTGCAGGCTGTCAGCTATTTCCTCCCCTGGTGCTGAGATGCAGCCACCTCTGGGGTGGGGCACAGGGGCTGTTTATACAGGGATCTCTTGCCTGGCACTGAACTGCAGCCACCTCAGGGGGGCAGGGTGTGTGTGTGTGTGTGTGTGATAACAGGACAGTGTCACACAACAGTTTAGGACAGAAAGTGAAGCAGAATCCTGTCTGTCTGAAGAGTGCCCTAGGAGGACACAGGAGTAGGGCTGGGTGTGAGCTGCATTTCCCATTTCATGGCAAATTCCACAAATTCAACATTTTTTCCTGGAACAGAAGCAAAATATTTGGAAATTTCCCACAAAAGGAAATGACCCCCCCCCCCACCTCCCCCAGGCATTTGGGGTTAATGGAAGCGTCTGGTTCCCATTTCAACCTTTTCCAACTTTTAATGGTTTTCTATATAAAAACGATGAATTTCGTTCTGAAAAGTCATTTCAAAACCCACTGCCAAACCTTTTCATTCCAAAAACGTGCAAACAGGCCAGTCGGGTTTGGCCAGAAATGGCATTTTTATCAAGAAACAGTCCGAGGAAAAATTTCAGCTCCAGTCAGAAGCAAAAGGGAATGTACCAAACAGAGTGTGAACAGAGCCCCTGACATGTAAGGATTTTGTCCTGCCCCGCTCCCTGCACTACAGCGCCCCCTGTGGAGCCCCTCACTCTGCGCCCTGCAGTACAGCGCCCCCTGCGGAGCCCCCCCCCGCTCCCTGCACTACAGCGCCCCCTGCGGAGCCCCCCCCCTCTGCTCCCTGCACTACAGCGCCCCCTGCGGAGCCCCTCACTCTGCGCCCTGCAGTACAGCGCCCCCTGCGGAGCCCCTCACTCTGCGCCCTGCAGCGCCCCCTGTCCTGCCCCGCTCCTCGCGTCACAGCACCACAGTGGGGTCAGTAATGACTGCGAGGAGGGAGTGCCCCCTCTTGAGCCCCCTGCTCTGCTCCCTGCAGCACAGCGCCCCCTATTGAGGCCCACCCTGCAGCACAGCGGTGGAGGCTTTAGGGCGGGATGTGGCCGGGGTTGAGCCCTGGGAGCAGCTGTCCCAGGCGGCTGTGGGGATGGAGATACGGGCTGCTCTGTGCCTTGCTGGCCCCTGCATCTAACCCCCCAGGGGTCCTGAGAGTGAAGTTGTGTCACTGCCAGTGCTTAATTTGTGCCAGGGCTGAGCCCGGCGCCCTGGGCTTGCTGCATCAGTTACGGATGGAAAGGAATTGCTTGAGCCCCAGCACCTCTTTCATTACAAATTAAGCACTGGTCACTGCCCCCCCCCCCCCCGGCCATTAACACCCTTCTGTGCTCTGCCCCAGGGCCACACAATGGCCCATCCAGCCCAGTATCCCTCAGAGGTGTGCTGAGGGGGAGCTCACTGTGGTGCCCTCCTTCCTTTCTCTGCTGGGGGTCAGGGGTTTGCATTGAACTCCAGCACCCCACAGATAAGTGACCTTTCCTCCCTGAACATGCGGCACATCCCATAATACTTTGAGTGCTGAGGGGGGCCCTGCCCCATTCCCTCGCTGCCCCCACTTGAGCCCTTGGGAACCATAGATTCCCCTCCCCACCCAGCAGTGGAGGGTAAACTGAGGCAAGGGGGTCAAACAGCTTGCACAGTGGTATGCAGGGAATCTGCAGGGGAGCCAGGAACAGAACCCAGGTGTCCTGAGCCCCAGCCCTGGGGCCCCCACTCCCCTGTCAGGGCCTGGCCCCTGCAGGGGCTTGGCTGCATGGGAGAGCCCATATGTGTCTGCACATTGCTTTGCTGGGTCTCCTCAACCAAGCTCCTAGCAGAGATAGTGCCCCCCTGTAATTTCCCCCCCCCTCAGCAGTAAGCAGCCCTCTTGCCACCGGGGAGCCCAGAGGCTGAATAGTTCCCCGGACTCGAGGCAGAGTCCTGGGGGATCCTTGTGTGGAGGGACGGGCAGGAGTGCTGGAACAATTTGTATAGTGGGGGTGCTGAGAGTCATTGAACCAAATTGTAAACCCTCGATAGAATGGAAGCCACTTCAAGTCAGGGGGTGCGGCAGCACCCCCGCACCCCTAGTTCCAGCACCTTTGGGGGGGGAGCTCCCCCACCCAGGGCTCCTCTCTCAATAGAAGGAGTGAATTGCTCTGGATGTCCCCTGATCCTGCCCTTCCCCAGGCTCAGAACCCAGGTGACTGGGATCAGGGACCCAGGCGATCGGGGGGGGGGGGGCACCTCAGGCGATTGGGAATCAAGGTGCCTGACCCCTCGGAGCAGCAGGGAAAGTTCCTCCCGCGCACTCCCCCCTGCTGAAAACCATCCTGTTGCCCCGGTGACCGGCTCCCAGGCGGCCAATGGTGGGTGGGTCACACGCAGGTTTCTCTCCCTCCAGTTCTGGGCAGGTGCTGGGCGTGGGGGAAATGGAGGGGATGGAGTTTGTAGCCATGCAAAGCCAGTGTACCTCAATCCAGACCTGCAGCCCCCCAGCTCTGCCAGTGCACCTCAATCCCACCCTCAGCCCCCCAGCTCTGCCAGTGCACCTCAATCCCACCCTCAGCCCCCCAGCTCTGCCGGTGCCCCTCAATCCTGACCCCCAGCCCTCCTGTTCTGCTGGTGCCCCTCAATCCCAATCCCCTGCTATTCCAGCCCTGGGTTTACCACCTTCCCACCCCCACCCCCACCCCCAGCACACACTGACCCCTAATCTCCCCCACTGTGCCTGTCACAAAATTATGTCTGTCCCAGCACAAGCTGGAGTGTTGGACCCTGTCTAGGGCCTGGTATGTGCAGTGAATTTGTGGGGTCTCAGCTTCATTCTGTGTGGGGCAGGCACCCAGCCACAGAGAGCAGCAGCTAAATGGTCCAGCCAGCCACCTCGTTACCCCATCCCTGGCTCCCTGCTCCCCCAGCTGGCCTTGCAGGCTGTTCCTAGGGCTCCGATTATGGGGGGAGGATGCTGAAGCAGAATCCCTCCCCTGCCAGGCACAGGAGCCACGTGTGAGGGTTGCTAAGCAACCCCGACAGGCGCCTGTAGTCCTCATTGTTGCTTTGACAGGTACCAAGTGCAGCTCAGATCTGACTGTGGCTGGAGAGGAGCCCAGGGCTGGGTTAGCAGTGGGCTCTGGGCTGGGTTGGGGGGCACCATCAGAGTTGTGGGGGTGGAGGAGAGCCCAGGGCTGGGTTAGCAGTGGGCTCTGGGCTGGGTTGGGGGGCACCATCAGAGCTGTGGGGGTGGGGGAGAGCCCAGGGCTGGGTTAGCAGGGGGCTCTGGGTTGGGTTGGGGGCACCATCAGAGCTGTGGGGGTCAGGGGAGCCCAGGGCTGGGCTAGCAGGGGGCTGAGGGTCAGGATTGGGGGAACCAGCAGAGCAGAACTGTGTGTCTCAGCCCATCACCTTGATGAGTCTCTGCTCTGAGAGCCCAGAAACTGGTGACGGGAGTAGCTGGGGCTGGGGCACATGCCAGGGAGCCAGGAGGCTCTGGGTGCTGGTAAGTGGGCCTGAGTGTGATGGACCTGGACATGCTTAATGTGGGGGGAGGGGGCAAACTCATGAGCAGGGGCTCTGGAAGGGGGAAGGGAATCCCCCAGACACACCTGCTGGAGACCACGGCAACAGGACTGAGCTCAGGCTAGTGACAGAAACATCTCCATTTGGGAAGGCCGGGGGGTATCGGCTCTGATCCAGGCTGGGGGCTCCTCCAGCCCCCCACTGTCTCACACCGGATCTCTCCCAGCCCCCGGAGGATGGGGAGGCAGTGGCTGAGTCACCCCATTTGGCTGGGGCTCTGGGGCTGGCTGTTCCGGAGCCGGCTGTGCTGGCAGGAGCCCAGGAAAAGCCATGTGGAGTCGGGGGAGGAAACTGGACCCCCCAGGGAAGCTGGGTCTCTCCACATCCTGCTGGGAGCTAACTTCCCTGGTAACGCTTGGGGGAGGATGGATCCAGGCTTTCAGGGGGCAGATGAGTTCAGGGGGCTGGAAGCCAGGACTCCAGGTTCCATCCCAGCTCTGTCAGGGGAGTAGGGGCTAGTGGTTAGAACAGGGAGGGGCTGGGAGCCAGACTCCTGCTCTGATCCTTGATATTTTTATTATTGATATGGAAGTGCAAAGCAGCAGAGACTGGTGAATTCCTGTCGGCTTGATCACTTCTGGGGAGTTTATCAAGCAGTGACTGTTAGCAGTAGGGTCCGTCTGTTCCTCCCCACCTCCTGTATCCACAAACCAGCCAGTCCCCTGGCACTGGGGCTGGATTGGAGCCAGCGTGCCATAGAAGGGAAAGCCCCATGTCCCATTCTCTAGAAGGGCTAGAGAGGAAGGGTGACAGAATGGGGAGCTGAGAAGGTGTATGTGTGTGTGAGGGGGTCCGGCTGGGTGCCCCAGTGGGTGGCACTGCAGATGCTCCTCTCTGGCTTTATCAGCCCTCAGTTGGGGTCACCCCGAGCAAATTGGCAGGATGGGGTCTGATTTGCATACGTAAATAAGATTGTGTGGGTTGGGCCAGACACTGCCTAGGTGATCATGTCCTCAGGCAGCCCCACCATGGGCTTGTGTGACCCCCCCTCGCCTGCTTCCCCCGGGGCGACCCTCCTGGGAACTCCCTACCCTTCCCTCAATGAATGGGGGAGCCCCCATGGGAAGGTCGGGGGGATGGATCCCTGTATAAACAACCCCTGCACCCCACCCCAGAGGCAGCTGCATCTCAGCACTGGGTAAGAGATCCCTGGATACACTGCCCCCATGTCCCACCCCAGACTCAGCCGTGTTCCAGGGCTGGGCCGGGAGTATCTGTCTCTCTCTGCAGCTGTCTCTGACCCTGCTCCCCCCACAGATCATCGCCTTTGACGAGCTGCACACAGACTTCAAGAGTCCCATTGACCAGGGGAACCCGGCAAGGGCAGTAAGTCAATAGATGTGGTGGGAGAGGTGTGTCTGTCTCTGTGTCCGTCTGTGTCTGACCCTCCCCCTCACCCACTGCCATGCCCCCCCCCCCGCCCATGCCGCCCATGTCATTCCTATATTTCTTAAATGTGGTGTCCACTCAACCGTCCTCTGCCATGAATGAGTGACAGTGGCATGAAGGGTGCAGGGCTCCCAGACTCCTGGGTTCTATCCAAGCTCAGGGAGGGGAGGGGAGTCTAGTGAGTTAGAGCTGGGGGGCTGGCAGGACTCCTGGGTTCGCTCTCGCTGGCTGTGCTGCGCTGAAGTTTGTGTCACTCAAATGTTTTTTCGGAAGGTCCCAAAGTTCCCATCAGCCCCTGGGGCTGGTCAGCTGGGGGGGGTGTCAACACTACTCTGGGGCTGGGATTTCAACAGGCTTCCAAGGCTCTGCACCAACCCACCCCCTCCCATCCCCTCACCCCTCTTCCTTTTCTACCCCAGTACCCCACCCCCTTCTTCTCTCCTCATCACACCCCTGGTCCAACCCCACTGCTTATTGCTTTTTCATCTCTCTTTGTCTAGTTTGATCCAGCTGCATCAGTGCTGGTGCCCCTCCATCCCAGCCCCCAATCCCCCCGCTAGCCCACCCCTGGGCTTGCGCTCAGCTCTGCCGATGCCCCTCAGTCCTGACCTGCAGCAGCCCTGGATCCTGTTCCCTCCATGCTCAGCTGATACTCTTCAGTCCCAACCCCCAAGCCCCTGCTATCCCAGCAGCCCCCATTCAGATGGGGGTCAAGGTGCGGGTAGGTTCTGGGAGCTGACTGTGCTCAGGTGCGGGGGTTGAGGAGCTGTAATTAAAGGTGCTGCTGACAATCACTAAAACTGCCCCCCCCCCCAGCAATGTTCCCTCTAATTTTTCACAGGCCGTGTGTGCAAAAAATTTCTTCTGTGCAAATTTTTGTGTGCACGGTGTTTCACCGTGTGCGTGGGGTTTAGGATCTGTGTGAACACGCACAGAGCAGAGGGAACAGTGCCCCTCAGGGTTTGTGGGGGCGGAATAGCACCCTGGGGCCTCGAGAGGGGAAGGGGCTTGCTATGGGTCACAGTGAGTCAGTGGCAGACCTGAGGAAAAAACCCCACTCCCACCCCAGAGCCAGGGATAAAACCCAGGAGTCCTGACTCTCCCTCTCTCTCCTGCTCAAACCCCTTACACCAGCATTTCCCAGGGGGTGGGACCCAAAATTGGTTGGCGGAATGTTTCAAAGGGTCACGTGGCAGCTCCTAGCCCATGGGGCTGGCTGGGCTCTCCCTGCTCCACACACTGCAACTTCTATGGTCCCAGCACCCCTCAGGTTTGGCCCAGCCACCCAGACAGGCCAAATCTGAGTGAGTGGCGGCCCTGTAACCCCATGAGCCAGGTCACAACTCCACCCACACACATTTGGTCCAATCAGGTGGGCGGGGCCAAACCTCAGCCACGCCGCAACCGCCAGAGGTTGCGATGCTGGCACTACCCAAGCCAGCACAGGAGCTGCCGCTGTGGGGTGAGTGCCGTGCAGTGCCCAACCTCGTCCTGGGGGCAGGAGCTGACCGAAACCCCCCCCAAGGCCTCCGCCCCCCCAGACTATTTACTGAGTCGCAACAGGCCATAAACTTTTACAAAGGGGTCCTGAGCCCCCAAAAGTTGTGAACCACTGCACTAGACCCTCCCCTCCGTTCCAGGAGTGGGGGATAGAACCCAGGTGTCCTGGTGGGTGGCGAGCCCTGACTGCTGCCTGTGTGTCGGCTGCAGTAACAGAGTTGCTGGGAGAGGAATTCAGGTCACACAGAGCTGTTTATATTTAGGGAAACGGAGTGGGAGCGATGGCCCCAGCTGCAGTCCCTGGCTTGGGGCCCCCGAGGTTGCTGGGATTGACTCTGCCCAGGTTAGGCACAGTGGAGGGGACAGATGGGCCAGGTGAAGGAATAACTCCTCATAGGGCAGAGTGCTCCCTGTCTGTGCAGCCCAGAGCCCTGGAGTCAACCACCTCCCTGCTCGCACACAGCATCTGCCTGACTGATGGGAAACTGAGGCACAGGTGGGGGAGGAACTGAATCAGGGTCATGCAATGAGTAGGGATGAGAAAGGGAAATAGAACCCAGAAGTCCTGGCTCCCAGCCCTCCTGCTCCAATCCTAGACCCCACTCTCACCCAAATTCTATTCATTAACATTTCAGTACTGGAGTAACCTCATTTCATATCTGATACCAGAATCCAGGCCCAACCCCAGTGCAGCCAGGGGTGACTCCGGATATACCTTGTGGGAGCTGACACCAGAATCTGGCCCTGACCCCAGTGCAGTCAGGGGTAACTCTGGATATAACCTGTGGGAGCTGACACCAGAATCCGGCTCTGACCCCAAGTGCAGTCAGGGGTGACTCTGAATATGCTCTGTGGGAGCTGACACCAGAATCCAGCCCTGATGTCAGTGCAGTCAGGGGTGACTCTGGATTTATCCCAGGTAACCAACATCAGACTCTGGCCCACACTCCATCGCAGGCAGATGGTGACTTTGGATTTACTCAGGCTCTCAGCTCAGAATCTGTCCCTAGCCCAATTGCACTTGCTGACTCTGGATCAGTGCTTAATTTGTGCCAGGGCTGAGCCCCGGCACCTCTGGGCTTGGCAGTGCCGAGCCCCAGCACCTCTGGGCTTGCTGCATCAGGTATGAATGTAAAAAATCGCTTGAGCCCCAGCACCTCTTTCATTACAAAGTAAGCACTGCTCTGATTGACCGGGGGAAGCTGAGCTCAGAATCCAGCCCTCATCCCGTTGCTGTTGCTGGGTGACCGGATTTACCACAAGGGAACTGAGATCTGGGGGCCACTGGGGGCTGGCGGGGATGAGATGGGGGTGAAGAAGGAGGGGAAAGAAGGAGCTGGGGAAATTGATGGGGGTGGGTTCTGGGGGCTGGCCTTGCTCAGGTGGGGGGGAGGGGTCACAGCAGAGTGAATTTGGGGGTCTGGCTGTGCTCAAGAGGGGGTGAGCAGGTGGGGGGACCTTGCTGTGTGAGTCCTGCTTGTAAGTTTGCCTTTCCTGTTATCGATCCAGCCAGGGTTTGGGGTTCACTGGGTTGCAAAAGGGAAGAGACACTGAGGTTTCAGTCCCCCCAGATGAAGCTCAAGTTGCTTCCTGTTCTCTGCAGGGTTGGTAGCAGTGTGGGGAGCCCAGGGCTGGATAGCAGGGACTGCGGGTTTGAGGGGCTCTGACAGAGCTGTGTGGGGAGCCCAGGGCCGGATAGCAGGGGCTACGGGCCAGCACAGGGATACCAGCAGGGTGTCCAGGATTCCAGAGCTGGAATCCTCTCAGGCTGAGTCTCTGTTGGAAAAAGCTGCCATTTGAAGTCTCTGTCGCCCAGTCTCAGGGTTTGATCATGGCATTTGGTGTCTTAGGGCATGTCTATGCTACAACCAAACACCCGGGTTGGCCCCTGTCAGCTGACTCAGGCTCATGGGGCTCCCTCCCTCCTCACGGGGTCCCAGAGGCCAGGCTCCAGCCCCAGCAGTTTCATAGCCCCTCAGCCCGAGCCTCGCCCACCTGAGTCAGATGGCATGGCCTAGCTATGTGTGTTTTATTGCAGTGTAGATATGCCCTTAAATCCCCAGCTCCCAGAGTCCTGGGATCTTCTGAGAATCGTGGCTTTCATATATAAACCCCCCCCAGAAACTTTCTCTCCCTTGTGGGGAGAAGCTGGGATCTGCCTCCTGGAGGCACCCCACAGGCACTGAGCCAATAAATACAAGCCCAATGGCACATGATTTCAAAGCTAGTCTCATGGTTTTGGGCCCACTAGCTTCGGGGTTCATGCTGAAGAAACTGGAAATGTAAATGTTCCCTTTCCCCTCACGGGAGCACAAGTGGAGCCACTGCTCTTGAGCTCTGTCTATGTAGGGTCTAGTATTTGTGTTTGTGCAGGGCTTAATGTCTGGGGTTTATGTGGGGTCTTGTCTGTGTTTGTGTAGGGCTTAGTCTCACTGTTTATATAGGATCTTACAAGACCCTTGACTTGCGTATTGTACAAGCCCTAACTAAGGGCACACATTGTGTCAGACAATGATGTGAATGATGGAGCCTGAACCCTCTTTACAACTTGGGGGGGGAAGGAAGTGGGGCCCCAGAGGCCCTGGGATTTGGGCTCCACCTTCATTTTGGACTTTCTGCAAACCCTAGCCCTATATAAGGGCAAGGAAGTGTCTTCATGGCTACTTGCACCCCACCCCTGATCCCAGCTCCAGCAATAACCCGACACACAAAACTAATTCCCAGAGTGGGTATCCATGTACACACCCTCCCCTCCCCAACAACAAGCCCTCATTCACCTCCCACAGCTGAGAATAGAACCCAGGAGTCCTGGCTCCCCTCCTCCCCCACACCCTGCTCTAACCACAAGGTTCCTAGATTATAAAGCCAGAAGGGACAATTATGATCATCTAGTCTGTCCTCCTGTATAGCCTGTTCCAGTGTCTAATTAAAGCGCTGGGGCAGGTTACTTGGGGAGGCAGTGGAATTCCCACCAGTGGAAGTTTTAAGAACAGGTTAGACAAACACCTGGCAGGGGTAAGCCAGGTTTATTTGGTCCAGCCTCCTTCAGGTGGGTGGCCTAGATGACCATGTTAGGTGCATTCCAGCCCTACATTGCTATGATTATATAACACAGGGCATATGACTTCCATGAATTAACTCCTGGTTGCACTAGAATAGAGCAGATCTGTTATCAAAATATCCCATTTTGATTTAAACATTGCCAGCGATGGTGAATCCACCACAGCCCTGGATAAATTGTTCCAACGTTTAATTACCTGCACTGTTAAAAATGTAGGTGTCTTATCTCTAGTCTGAATTTGTCCAGCTTCAACTTCCAGCCCTTGGCTCTTGTTAGACCTTCGGCTGCTCTATTGCAGCTCCATTATCCAATTTCTGTTCCCCACGTAGCTACTTCTAGCCTGTGATCAAGTCACCCCTTAATCTTCTCTTTGTTAAACTAAACAGATCGAGCTCCTGGAGCCTCTGACTCTGAGGCATGTTCTCTAAGTCTTTAGTCATTCTCGTGGCTCTTCTCTGAGCCCTCCAATTTATCAGCATCCCTTTTGCATTGTGGTACGAGAGCTGGATGCAGGATTCCAGTAGTGGCCACACCAGTGCCACACCTGGAGGTAACAGAACCTCCCTTCTCCAAGTTGGGATTCCCCGGTTTACACACCCCAGGCCCGCATTAGCCCTTTTAGCCACGGCATCGCACTTGGGAGCTTGTGTTCAGCTGATTAGCCGCCATGAGCCCCAAGCCCTTGTCAGAGTTCCCTGTCCTGAAAGTATGGCCAGTGTTCTTTGTTCCTAGAGGTGTATGTTTACATTTGCCCATATTACAACACACATTGTTTGCGTGTGCCCAGCTTACCCAGGAAGCCAGATCGCTCTGTATCCGTGACCTAACTTCATTATTTATTACTCTCCCAATCTTTGTGTCATCTGCAAACATTTCATGATGATTCGATGTTTTCTTCCAGGTCACTGATAAAAAGGTTAACTCGTGTAGGGCCAAGAGCTGATCCTTCGGGACCCCACTAGAAACACTCCCATTCAGTGATGATTCCCTGTGTACAGTTACATTTTGCGACCTAGCACTTAACCAGCTTAACCCCATTTAATGTGTGTCATGCTGGGTTTGTATTGTTCAAGGTTTTGAATCACAATGTCATGCAGCATCACATCAAATGCCTTACAGACGTCTCAATATATTACATCAGCTTTATTACCTTTATCAACCAAACTTGGAATTTCATCCAAGAATATACCAAATTAGTTTGACAGGAACTATTTTCCATAAACCCACGTTGACTGGCATTAATTATATCACACTCCTATAATTCTTTATTAATTGAGTCCCATCATATCTGCAGCCCCATGTCTTGCCTGGGATTGATGTCAGGCTGACAAGCCTATAATTACACAGGTCCATCCTTTGGCCCAGTTTAAATACTGGTGCAACATTAGTGTTCTCCCAGTCCTCTAGAACAGGGGTTCTCAAACTTTTTCTTTCTGAGCTCCCCTCCCCGTCCCCCCCCAACATGATATAAAAACTTCACAGCCCACCTGTGCCACAACAACTGGTTTTCTGCATATAAGAGCCAGGGCCTATGTTAGGGGTAGCAAGCAGGGCAATTGCCTGGGGCCCCATGCCACAGGGCCCCTGCAGAGCTATGTTGCTCAGGCTTTGGCTTCAGCCCCAGGTGGCAGGGATCACGGCCCTGGGCTTCAGCCCCAGCCAGTGGGACTTTGGCTTTCTACCCTGCGAGTCTAATGCGAATCTAGGCCCCAGCGAGTCTAATGCTGGCCCTGCTTGGAGGACCCCCAGAAACCTGCTCGCAGCCCCCCCAGGGGGCCCCAGACCCCTGGTTGAGAACCACTGTTCTAGAACTTCCCCAGTGCTCCAAAACGTATTGAAAAATCAACCCTAATTGTCCAGAGAGCTCCTTGGTCAACTCTTTTAATACATTTGGATGCAAGTTATAGGGCCTTGCTGATTAAGAAATGTCCCAAGCGGCAAAAAAACCAAAACTTGCCGCCGAACGGGGAGTCGGAGTGATGGTGCAGCCGAAGAAGAGTCGCGTCCCCGCCGCCGAATTGCCGCCGAGCGCGAAATGTGCTGTGACGGAGCGGCCGCCCAATTCCTGCCGCTGCCGAGGGTGGATTTTCGCCCCAGAGCCCGACCTCCTGCCGCCTGCTTGGTTCGCTGGTGCCTGGAGCCAGCCCTGACCTTAACTTTAGTAGATGCTGTTTAACATCCTCCGGAATTACTATTGGAATAGAAAGTGTTTCATCGCCATCATCATCATATGATATGAACACTCTATCTGGCTTTCTCTCAAATACAGAACACAAATAGTTATTGAATACTTCTGCCGTTTCTACATTATTATTGACAATTTTGCCATTTCCATTTAGGAATGGACCAATGTTGTTTTGTTCTTAACATTCTTGAAAAAAATTCCTTCTCATTGTCCTTAACTCTGCTGGCCAAACATCACTCCTTGTATCCTTTTGCTTTCCTTATTAATTTTCTACAATTCCTAGCTTCTGATTTATATTCATAGAATCATAGAATCATAGAATCTCAGGGTTGGAAGGGACCTCAGGAGGTCATCTAGTCCAACCCCCTGCTCAAAAGCAGGACCCATACCCAATTAAATCATCCCAGCCAGGGCTTTGTCAAGCCTGACCTTAAAAACTTCTCAGGAAGGAGATTCCACCACCTCCCTAGGCAACGCATTCCAGTGTTTCACCACCCTCCTAGTGAAAAAGTTTTTCCTAATATCCAACCTAAACCTCCCCCACTGCAACTTGAGACCATTACTCCTTGTCCTGTCCTCTTCCACCACTGAGAATAGTCTAGAACCATCCTCTCTGGAACTACCTCTGAGGTAGTTGAAAGCAGCTATCAAATCCCCCCTCATTCTTCTCTTCTGCAGACTAAACAATCCCAGTTCCCTCAGCCTCTCCTCATAACTCATGTGTTCCAGTCCCCTAATCATTTTTGTTGCCCTTCGCTGGACTCTCTCCAATTTATCCACATCCTTCTTGTAGTGTGGGGCCCAAAACTGGACACACTACTCCAGATGAGGCCTCACCAATGTCGAATAGAGGGGGACGATCACGTCCCTCGATCTGCTCGCTATGCCCCTACTTATACATCCCAAAATGCCATTGGCCTTCTTGGCAACAAGGGCACACTGCTGGCTCATATCCAGCTTCTCGTCCACTGTCACCCCTAGGTCCTTTTCCGCAGAACTGCTGCCTAGCCATTCGGTCCCTAGTCTGTAGCTGTGTATTGGGTTCTTCCGTCCTAAGTGCAGAACCCTGCACTTATCCTTATTGAACCTCATCAGATTTCTTTTGGCCCAATCCTCCAATTCATGCTTCATGGCTATTGACTTCCCTTCTCTCCCTTTTGTATCTATCTGTCTTGTTCATTTATTGTAATGAACTGCCCTCACTTCATCTCTAAGTGAGGTGGGTTCTTTCTTGATTGTGGCTTTTTAGGCTTCTATTAAAATGTTCTTAAACAATTCCTAATTATCATTCACATTTTTCTCATTAAATTCTGCCTCCCAGCTGACTTGGTTCCTTTTAGCTTTCAGCCTTGTGAAACGAGACCTTTTAAACATAAGTTAATATATTGCTAGTTTGGGGTTTATTCTGTTTATACGTAACAAATGTGATCAAGTCATGATCGCTTGCATCTAAGCAACAACAAATTTTTAGTTCTGTGCTCAATTCCTCTTTATCTGTCCAGATGAGGTCTAATATAGAATTCCCTCATGTTGGATGCAACACTCTGAGCTAGGAAATTGTCATTTATAACTGCAATCTATAATATATAGAAATTCCAAGGATGCTTTCGCACTGACAGCAGGAGGCCTCCAGCAGATGTCACTCAGATTGAAGCCCCCATGATCACACTGTTCATTCCCCCTCTACTCATTAAAAACAGGTGTGGAAGGAGCCAGGCATCCTGTTCTCTAGTGGATTTGGTGGCATGTAGAAGACACCATCTAGTAACCAATCTATTGCTTTATCTGTTAGAACATTGATCTATAAGCATTGTAGCTCATTTGCTTCCGAGCTGTCGGTGACTCTGACACACATAATGCTATATTTGACACACCCCTTGCCTTTTTGCCCACTTGATCCTTCCTAAATAGGCTATAACCATTGATTTCTAACATTCCAACCCCACTCCCGTCCCAGAGCCAGGTATAGAACCCAGGAGTCCTGACTACCAGCCCCTCCCACCAGGCTTGAACACCCCTCTCTGTTCCTGCCTCACCCCCTTCTTTCAGCCCTCCCCTGTGCCAACTCTCAGTCTAATTCCCTGTTTCTTTTCCCCCTGCAGCGAGAGCGATTGAAAAACATTGAGCGGATTTGCTGCCTCCTGAGAAAGGTGCGTCCGTGTGTCCCTGTCCCTGCCTCACCTGTCTGTGTGTCCCCCCACGTCCATGTGGCCCCATCCCTGCCCCTTACGTCTTAGCTCTCCCAGTCCCCAAAACAGTTCTTGAACCCCCAACCTGGGAGCAACTCACAGCGCCTGAACCCTCCAGCCCCCTGAACTCCTGCACCTCTCCAAACATCTGCACCTCCTCCCTATAGCCTCCTCACCTCTCCCCACTGCATCCTGAACCCCCAAGCTCCATCACTCCTTCCCTTCGTAGGCTCCCTGAACTTCCACCCCACAGCCCCCCACACCTCTTCCCACAGCCTCCTGAACCCCCAACCCCTCTCCCATCTCCTGCCCCTCCTAGGCTCCCTGCACCTCCTCGCACCCTCTCCCCTCCTAGGCTCCCTGGACTTCAGCCCCACAGCCTCCCACTTCTCCCACAGCCTCCTGAACGCCCAACCCCCTTGGCTCCCTGCACCTCCTCCCCACAGCCCCCCACAGCTCTCCCCACAGCCGTGTCTGCTCACACCCCCTCCCCTCCTAGGCTCCCTGCACTGCCTCCCCGAAGCCCCCAACATCTCTCCTCATAGCTTCCTGATCCCCCAAGCCCCCTCCCACCCCTTCCCCTCCTAGGCTTCATGCACTTCCTTCCCTCAGCCACCCCCCCCCCACCTCTCCCCACAGCTTTCTGAGCTCCCAACCCCCCTGGCACCTCCTCCTCCTCCTAGGCTCCCAGCATCTTCTCCCCACAGCCCCTGACACTTCTTCCCACACCCTCCTGAACCCTCACCCATCCCCCAGCCAGTCCCCACCTGCCTTAGGGCCAGATCAGAGCTGCCCCCTCCCCCAAGAAAGGCCCCATATCCTATTCTCTGCTACCCTGAGCCAGCCAGTTCCCCTGCCCTGGGGCCAGATTGGAGCTGGTGCCCCTGGGGAGGTGCTGTGTTGCTTGTGTCAGTTTCCCTGTTGTGTGTTGCTCTGCATTCCTGTCTGAGAATACTCCCCCCCCCCCCCCCCCGTATTATTTATGCCTGGCTGCTGGCAGGACAGGACACGGACACGGCCAAGCCGCGGAATACTAATGGGGTGCCTGTGGGGAGCACAGTGTGCTGAGGCGGCATCTACCCACCACTGGCACTGGGAGCCAGGTAGGGTTGCCAATTTTGGTTGGGCATATTCCTGGAGGTTTCCTCACATGACATAATCTTTAAGTACAGATTAATCTTAAATTCCTGGAGGGTTGACAACCCTAGAGCCAGGACTCCTGGGGTCTATTTCCCCACAGACCAGGGCTTGCTGTCTCTTCCAGCTCGTGGTCCCTGAATACTCCATCCATGGGCTCTTCTGCCTCATGTTCCTGTGTGCAGCCGAGTGGGTCACCCTGGGCCTCAACATCCCTCTGCTCTTTTACCACCTCTGGAGGTGAGTGGGTTCTGTGCCCTGGGAGCCAGCCCTCCTCGAGAGGACAGCTTGTGGGGGGAGGGAGTGCAGCCTCTGGGGGTGGAGGGTTGGGATTGAAGGACATGGGGCGGGGTGCCCAGGGCTGGGCTGGGGGGGACGGACCAGCAGAGCCGTGGGCATGGCGGGGCTAGCAGGGGGGCCGGCAGAGCCATGGGCGTGGCTAGGCTAGGAGGGGGGTCTTTCCTAAGTACTACAAGAAGCCCCTTGCACGAGCCCCTGTCTGAGCCCTGGCCTCGTTGCCCCCCCAGGTACTTCCACCGCCCGGCAGATGGGTCCGAGGTGATGTACGATGCTGTCTCCATCATGAATGCCGACATCCTCAACTACTGCCAGAAGGAGTCGTGGTGCAAACTAGCCTTCTATCTGCTGTCCTTCTTCTACTACTTGTACAGGTAGCGCCCCAGCACGGTCTCTGGGGAATCCTTACCGGGGGCTGAGATGCAGCCTCCTCTGGGGTGGGGCGTGGGGAGGTTATACAGGGATCCCTTACCCAATACTCAGGTACAGCTGTCTCTGGGGTGGGGCGCAGGTCTGTGTGCCTGGCGCTGAGACCCTGTGCCCCTCACTCCTGACCTGCAGCTCCGTTATGCTGCAGCATTTCAGGGTGTCTCTTTTTCTTTCTCTCCCCAGTATGGTTTATACTTTGGTGAGTTTCTAAGAGGACTGAGTGGGGGACCTCACAATTATCTCAGTGGCTGCTCCTGGACTCCTGGGCTTACCCCCAGCCAGCTGTTTCTAGGAGAGCGCAAGAGATGCTGGGAACACGGGGGGCCCCTGAAACTCCAACACCCCCATGGGCATGATGCACTGCCCCCATGGATTTGAGGCTCTGCCCCATCGCTGGACGACTCGCAGGATCAGACGTTGGGCCTCCCCATATTAGGGCCGCCCCGTGTTTTGAGTGACTCACTAAACCCTGCTGCCCCTCATTTCTGCAACGCCCATGAGGAGGGAAGCATCTCCTTCCAGATGTACCCTCCCCACCTCTGAGATGGGGGCCAGGGCAGGAGCGACCTCCCCCACCCCAGCTGTGACACTCCCCATTGCCACACTCCATTGTGAGCTTGTCTGTTGGGGGGCAGGGAGGGGGACGGGGCACCCTGCCCCACTGTTAAACCCATTTTAGGGTGCAGGGGAGCTGGATACTGGGCACCTCTCCCCTGTAGTGTCATTATAATGCGGGGGTAGGGGGTCAGGGCTGATGTCCCCAGGACTAGGGGTGTTATTCTGTTGGACACATTTACGTCTAATCCAGAGGGGTGTAACCCACCCAGGATCTCCCCACAACCTATGGAGCACAGCCCCTGGCCCCCCCACCCCAGGGCAGGCCCAAACCCCACACATGCCAGGGCGTGGCAGGGTATTTCTGTGTGTTTGTAGTGTTGAATTTGTTACCAGGAGTTATTGTCTGGAGTGGGGGCTGGGGGCCCAGGGGGTGCCTTAACTAGACCCCAAGGAGAAGGGGCTCAAGGCTGAACAATGACACCTCCACCCACTGCAAATGTCAGGCCCACTCCAACCCTCATTACCAAGTTGGGGGGAAGATTTTGGGGTGCACTCAAATTTGGGCCTTGAGTCCAGAAAGTGGGATGGGGTCCCTGTGTGTGGGGGTGACCTGTTATCCTGCATGCGGGGGGGTGTCTCTGTGCAGAACACCCCATTATCTCACGTCGGGAGCTGTTCTGGGCTCGGTGCTGGGGAGGAAATGACTGGTTTTAGAAGGAGGGGATTCCCCCCCCCGCACCTCCATCTGGGGTCAGACCCACACAGAAAGGGACCCTGGTGCCAGAGCTGTCTACAGGTGTTGGGGTGGGTGGGAGAAATCGCTCCTCCTTGGTCATTTCCCCCCCCTCCCCATTTCCCCCCCTCCCTGGGACATTTGTGTATGAAAGAAACATTGGCTAAACAATCCTCAACTTTGTGGCTAAATAAAAACTTGCAAAAAAAAAAAAAAGGCCCCCCCATTGGCCTCCTGGTGTCTGTAAGTGGGACAATGGGCCCTCAGGGAGCGCTGGCTCCAGTCCGGCCACAGGGCAGGGCAGCGCTTTCCACGCTCGGGGCCACCAGCTCCAAGCCAGTCCCCTGCCACAGCGCTTCATTGCCCCGCTCCACAGCCACGGGAGAGGGGCTGAGCAGGCCCCTGACTGGCTGCCTCCCAAGGGCAGGCAGCACATTGCCGGGGCTGGGGGGGGGGTGCTCTGGCACTGCTGCTGTGGGGGACTGTGAAGTGCTGGGCAGCCTGTCCCCACCAAGCCTGGCCTCCTGGGGACGTGTCTTTGCTCCCAGCCCACAGGGCACTGGGGAGCTGGTTTGTACTGCAACAGCGCAAGGGCCTTCAAGGGGTGCCAACATTGTGTTTAAAACTAAGGGCCTGTTTTCGTAGCGCCCCCCCCCCCGCCCGATATTGTTGTTATTGGAGTTTGGAGCATGTAGCAATAAGAAGCCGTACTCACCCCCTGCACCCCCCCCACCCCCCGCCATTCGCCAGGGGCATTGCTTGCTGCTTTTTGCAGCACTCAGCAACTCCAGAGCTTGTTGAGGTGAAAATATAAGGGACGTACGTCCCGTGTAATAAGGGACTGCTGGCAGCCCTGCTTCTGCGTGGCCATTACCACAGGGACCCCCCCAAAGCCTGCCAGGATGGGATGTGTGCTCTCACCCCAGGGCTAGGCACTACTGTTGGAGTGTACGCAGCCCTTGAGCACCAGCGGGCACACACTCACGGGCTCAGCCCTTCATCCCTTCTTGCCAGACCAAATCCCTGCCCCCCCAACACCCCTTACAGGCTCCCCCTCCGCCCCCCCCAACTAGCCTCACACACAGCCTTCAGGACACACACTCCCCCACTGCGCACACACCCCAGCCACCTGCCTGGCCAGCAGTCACTCAGCGGTGGCTTGGTCTGTTACTCCTGCCTGAGCCAAAGGGACAACCCCAGGGTTGGCTGCTGTGGGGGACAGGGGCGGTGGATCATAGTCACAGTGTAGGCAGCGAGCTCAGTCCCTATGGGGCAGCCCAGCTAGCCAGGCCCAGGGACATCCCCACTACTGGAACCTGGGCAGGGATTCCTGGGTTCTTTCCCCAGCTGGTGGGAGGGGGGCTAGAGGCTTAGCCACGGCGAGGGGGGGACCCTGTGAGGCCTGCAGGGCTCTGTCACTCCACTGGGAGAGGACTGGGGTTTGGGGGGGGGGGGGGCGCTGTTAGCCAGGATTCCTAGGTCCGAGCCTCTTCGCTGACATGTTTCCCCTCTGTAATGAGCTCAGTAAAATTCTCTCCTGGGGCAGTTGTAGGGCTGCAAAGCTCTTTGAAGCGCTGGAGAATAATCAGCAACTGCTGTTTTCTGGGACATTTATCAAGTCTCGGATCAAATTTGTCACTATGCTGCCAGGAGAGATTGTGAACGAGAACGAGAACCCTGCACTGGCAAAGAGCCACCTCCCCCAGGCTTTGATCTGCTGGGAAGGCGCCATCACAGCCGAGGGATCCCTTTCCTGGCGCCATGCTGCAGCTGCCTCTGGCGTGGGGCACGGCGGCTGTTTATACAGGGGTTCCCTCGCCTGGCAGTGAGCAGCAGCTGCCTCTGGGGTGGCGTGCTGGGGCTAAACATACAGATTTCCTCCCCCACCCTGCCTGGCACTGAGACATGCCCCATCAGCATTTTGGGTTTGGCCGGGGGGTGGGTGGGGGAATGCAGCGGTAGGAGCCCAGCCGCCAGGGTGGGAGCTGTTATGTAATGGCCAGTGCTCACTGTCCTCCCTACTTGTTCCAGCACATTAGCCATGAGCTGCAGCGCTGATGGATGTAATCTGTTTAGGTGAGTTGCCACCTGACCGCTCCCGAGCTGGCCCCATCTCCAGCCACAGGACCCCAGCTGCTGGCCCTGGGGCTGCCCTCAGCTCCCCCCTCCCACCCCCGCCTGCTGCAATGCTCGTGAATTTGTCCTTGATTCGCTCCATTTCTCCATTAAACAAAGCAGGATAGTTAATGTGGGCGCACCTAGACTGGGCTGGGGGAGCAAGCGTGTGTTTGTGTCCTACCCTCGGGGCGCGGGGGGTGGGGGTGGTGAGCACCACAGCCAATCCAGCCCCAAGATGGGGGAAACAGACTGGTGTGGGGGTGCAGGGAATGGACTACAGGCCCTTTCCCTGGGGGGCGGAGGGAAGAGGTGCTGGCTTTTGGGTGCACAGGCATGGGTGATGGTGCTTGTGCAAGGTGTGTCAGGGTTAGAGCTGGGAAGGCTGGCCGCCAGGCCTGTGGGGTCTGGGTCTATTGGTTAGAGTGGTGGGAGGTGGGGGCCGGGTGTCAGGACTACTAGGTTTTAGGCCTCGCTGCGGGACAGGCCATGGAACTAGTGGGATGAGCTGGGCGGCAGGACAGTGGGGTTCCAGTCTCAGCTCACTGGAGGGGGGCGTGGGGGAGAGTTCACACCTCATTCCCCCCCCCCCCACCCCCAAGATCTCTGCTTAACTGGAAGAGCCAGCAACCTCCAGATATGTCAGAAATGGGGAGAGTGGAGGGTGGGGGAGTTGGTTGGAGCTTGGGGTGGCGGGGAAAGACAGTGCTGGGGGAGGAGTAGAGCTTATCTGTCTTTCTTGCCCCCACCCATCCCTGCTGACTGAGGTGCTGGATTCACAGTGAAGGGAAGTGGTGGGGGGAGGGGGCCTGGCAGGAGACCTGGGAGCCTCCCTCTCAACTGCTGCGGTCAGCATTGCAGCATTAATTGCTCTTGGGGTGAGTGGTTGCAAGGTGATGATGAGCAGTTAACTAACAGACCCTGAGACAGAAGGGGAGCCCAAGGCTGGGCTATCAGGGGGCTGTGGGTCAGGACTGAAGGGCACTGGCAGAGCTGGGGTGGAAACCGATAGCTGCTCTGGCCCATATGGGGGTCCCTGGCTCATAACTGGGCATAGGTGCTGAAACGGGGGGTGCTCTTGCACCCCCCTGGCTTGAAGCGGTTTCCTTCATATCCAGCGTTTACAGTTGGGTTCAATGGCTCTCAGCACCCCCACTGTACACATGGGTTCCAGTGCCCCTGTAACTCAGGGCATCTGCTGAGGAAAGTTTGTGGGGATCCAATACATCTGCTTCCATTTGCTTCCCTGAGCAAAGGGCCCTGTGTGCTGGGCTCGCAAAGGGCTCGCACTGACACCTGGTGGCAAGAGGCAGAATGACAATGTCAGCAGCATTGAAGGCAGGATGAGCCAGAGCTCCCTCTCTGGTCCCCTCCCCACCCTTGCATCCCTGTGGTGCAGCAGGCCTGGGCTATAGTGGAGGCAAGGGTTAAAGTGCTTGGCAAAGGGGCTCTGATTGGCTGCTTGCCCCACCTCCTGTGGTATAAGCGGCCAATCAGAGCTGCTACAGTGCTCTTCCCCCAGGAGGTGCAGAGGAGGCGGGGGTGGGGGTAGAGTTAATAGGGGGTGAGAGGAGGGACAGTTTGATGGGGCAGGCAGCTGTGAAGGCACTTTAATAGCTGTGGAAAATTACAGATCATAGAACATCAGGGTTGGAGGGGACCTCAGGAGGTCATCTAGCCCAACCCCCTGCTCAAAGCAGGGCCAATCCCCAACTAAATCATCCCAGGCTGGGCTTTGTCAAGCCTGACCTTAAAAACTTCTAAGGAAGGAGATTTCACCACCCTCCCAGTGAAAAAGTTTTTCCTAATACCCAACCTTGAGACCATTACTCCTCGTTCTGTTATCTGCTACCACTGAGAACAGTCTAGATCCATCCTCTTTGGAACCCCCTTTCAGGTAGTTGAAAGCAGCTATCAAATCCCCCCTCATTCTTCTCTTCCGCAGACTAAACAATCCCAGTTCCCTCAGCCTCTCCTCATACGTCATGTGTTCCAGTCCCCTAATCATTTTTGTTGCCCTTCGCTGGACGTTTTCCAATTTTTCCACATCCTCCTTTTAGTGTGGGGCCCAAAACTAGACACAGTACTCCAAATGAGGCCTCACCAATGTCGAATAGAGGGGAACGATCACATCACTCGATCTGCTGGCAATGCCCCTACTTATACATCCCAAAATGCCATTGGCCTTCTTGGCAACAAGGGCACACTGTTGACTCATATCCAGCTTCTCGTCCACTGTAACCCCTAGGTCCTTTTCTGCAGAACTGCTGCTGAGCCATTCAGTCCCTAGTCTGTAGCGGTGCATGGGATTCTTCTGTCCTAAGTGCAGGACTCTGCACTTGTCCTTGTCGAACCACAACAGATTTCTTTTGGCCCAATCCTCTAATTTGTCTAGGGCCCTCTGTATCCTATCCCTACCCTCCAGCATATCTACCACTCCTCCCAGTTCAGTGTCATCTGCAAACTTGCTGAGGGTGCAATCCACACCATCCTCCAGATCATTAATGAAGCTATTGAACAAAACCAGCCCCAGGACCGACCCTTGGGGCACTCCACTAGATACCGGCTGCCAACTAGACATGGAGCCATTGATCACTACCCATTGAGTCTGACAATCTAGCCAGCCTTCTATCCACCTTATAGTCCATTCATTCAGCCCATACTTCTTTAACTCGCTGGCAAGAATATTGTGGGAGACTGTGTCAAAAGCTTTGCTAAAGTCAAGGAACAACCCGTCCACTGCTTTCCACTCATCCACAGAGCCAGTTATCTCATCATAGAAGGCAATTAGATTAGTCAGGCATGACTTGCCTTTGGTGAATCCATGCTGACTGTTTCCGATCACTTTCCTCTCCTCTAAGCGCTTCAGAATTGATTCCTTGAGGACCTGCTCCACGATTTTTCCAGGGACTGAGATGAGGCTGACTGGCCTGTAGTTCCCTGCATCCTCCTCCTTCCCTTTTTTAAAGATGGGCACTACATTAGCCTTTTTCCAGTTGTCCGGGACCTTCCCCAGGCACCATGAGTTTTCAAAGATAATGGCTTTGAAATTCTTCCTCCCACAACTCCTTTTTCAGACTACTTTAAGCATTGCAGGGAGCAGGGCCTGCACTTGTCCCCCACATGGGTTCAAAGCCTCCTATAGCCAAACACTCAACCCTGAGCTGTAAAGATACCAAACCCTAATGAACCTCCCACCTCCATCACTCCAGGGCACAATAATGGAATGACTGACACAATAGAACTCAATTAATAAAGAAGTGTGGTATAATTAAAACCAATCAACATAGGATTATGGAAAATAGAGCCTGTCAAAATAACTTGGTATATTTTTTTGAGAGTCAAAGATGAGTGTTGATGTCAAACACTTATCCTGGGGTACCATGGCAAATGACTTACAGAAGTCTATCTTAAGAAACCAGATCAATACTAAATCACCACAGCACACATTAACTGGATTAAAAACTGGCTTACTGATCTGTCTCATGTTGTACTTGTAAACAGGAAATCATCACTGGGTGCATATGTTTCTACTAGGGGCCCACAGTGATTGGTTTTTGGCACTATCCTGTTTAGTATTTTTAGCAATGACATGGAAGAAAACAAAAAATAATTGCTGATAAAGTCTGCAGACGACACAAAGATGGGAGGACTAGTGAATAATGAAAAGGATAAGTCACTGATACAGAACGAGCTGGTAATCTGGGTGCAAACAACCAATATGTGATTTAATATGGCAAAATGTAAAGTTATACATATAGGAACAAAGAATGTAGGTTACACTTACAGGATGGGGGACTCTATCCTGGGAGGCAGTGACTCTGAAAAGGGCTTGGGGGTCGTGGTGGATAATCAGCTGAATGTGAGCTCCCAAAGTGAATCTGTGGCCAAAAGGGCTAATGCAATCTTGGGATGTATAAATAGGGGAAGATTGAGTAGAAAGGAGGTTCTGTTACTTTCGTAGGTAGCGCTGGTGCAGCATCTGCTGGAATCCTGCATCCAGTTCATAATGCAAGAGGGATGCTGATAAATTGGAGGGCTCAGAGAAGAGCTAGGAGAATGATTAAAGGCTTAGAGAACATGCCTCATAGTGAGAGACTCCAGGGGCCTGATCTATTTGGCTTAACAAAGAGAAAGCTTACGGATTACTTGGTCACACTTTAGAAGTACCTAGTGGGGAACAGCACTTGGATAACAGAGGGCTCATCAATCTAGCCGACAAAGGTCTCACACGATCTAATAGCTGGAAGTTGAAGTTAGACAAATTCAGACTGGAAATAAGGCACAAGTTTTTAACAATTTAATAATTAACTATTGAACAACTTCCTAAGGATTGTGGTGGATTCTCCGTCACTGGCAATTTTTAAATCAAGATTGGATTTGTTCTAAAATATCTGCTCTAGTTCAAACAGGAATTAATTCAGCTCAGTCCCATGGCCTGTGTCATACAGGTCAGAGTAGATGATCCCAAAGATCCCTGTTGTACTCAGTCCTGCCTCAGAGCAGCAGGCTGGTCTAGCTCTCTCTTCCGGCCCTACATATCTATGATTCTGTGATATATAATCTATGGTTCTATGAATGGGACAGAAATTGCAGAGTGGCTTCAAGTTGCGATTGAGGGGCACTGTACTAGTGCTGTGTGTAGAGGGGTCCACAAAGCTTGCAAGGGTAGAATGCTCCCCTTCTGAGCCCCCATCCTGCTTCCTGCTGCACAGCCCGCCTAGTACCATGTCTGGGCATTGGGGCCAGGGCTGCAAGGGCAAAGTGCCCCCTATTGGGCCACTGCCCCACTCCCTGCTGTAAAGCTCCCCCTAGCACCATGGCCCAGCACTGACACACAGACTGCTAGTTAGTCAGGACTCTTTATTCCCTCTCTCCCAGTGTTGGGTTTTGATGGAGTTTTCCGGGAAAACACTGATATGCTGAAAACACTGGTTTTTTAGGTTACTTTCCACCGCAGGGGACTGAAGGACCAAATACTCACCAGCAGAAGGGAGGTGGGGGGATAGGGCCCTGCACCCGAGGTGATGTGGCTGGGGAAGTCCCAGAGGGCAGGTTAGTGCTATCATCCCTCCTTCATAATGAGGGTGAAACTGAGGCATAGGCAGGAGAAGGGACGCGCCTCAGGTCACCCAGCCAATTAGGGATAGAACCCAGAAGTCCTGGCTGCCAGACCCCGCATGGGGGTCTGACGTGTCCATGCTTCAGGTTGTGTGTGGTCCCCGCCAGCTGTGCATTGCAGGTTGTGTCTCCTGGGTGCCTCTACGTCTGGGGGCGTCCCAGGAGTCCATGTGTCTGGGAAGGACTGTCCCCCAGGCGCTACGCTGCCCCATCTCAGCGGACCAGGTGGAAGGTGAGCCAGTAGACGATGAGTGGCTGGCAGGCAGCAGCCCCCAGGGTGACATAGGTCTGACCACGCCCACCGCCCCTGGGATGCCCCATCCCATCTGGCACCAGGGACGGGTGGAGCTTCATTCGCAGGGAGCGTGCCTGGGGAAAGACAACATTAGATATAGGGGGGAGCCTGGCCTGGTAACCCACCTGCCCCTGTCTCTCCCTGCCACCACCTCAGCTGTGGGGAGACAGCATTAGACATGGGGGATTAACTGGTAATTATCCATGCCCACTCCTCTCCTCACACAGCCCCATGCCCAGGGCCCCACCTCTCAGGATTGTGGGGACTGCGCTGCCCCCATGGGGTGAGTTGAACATTGCAGCTCCTGTGGCTGAGGGAGCCATTACCAAGTCCCATGACGCCCCATGTTCAAAGGCTACTGCTGCCGCTGCCCTGCAGCTGGGATTGGCAGATACCACCCTGTGGGGACAGGGCCCTGGAGACTAGCCCAATGGGATGGCCTCAAACGGCCCACAGGCCACATGGCCTCGCTCACTTCTGAGGCTCTTCCCCTTTCTCCACTCCCAAGCACCTCCAACCTGTGGGGTTACAGGGGCTATAGCTGCTATAGAGAAGCAACCCCCATTCCTGGGTGCCTAGTGCCAGGGATTTATGGGGGCTCTATGTGTCTATATAGGGGCTGGCCCTAGAGATTACAGAGGCTGTAGGTGTCCGTATTGGGCCCTGCACTCACCAGGAAGTACATGAGGGCACAGGATGTCCAGGCAAGGGCCACGTAGTACCCATCACTGCCAAAGAGCAGCCCCCCCAGCACAGCCAGGATCATCCTGGAGGAGACAGAAATTAGGGGAGGGCAGGGCCAGGCAGTGAGAGGGGGCTCCTCAGATCTCCCCTCCCTGCACAGATGCACCAGACTCCATACTCCAGCATCATGTCATCCAGCCTGCTCCCTCACCCTGGTGGGACTCCTCAGACTCACCCTCAGTATCATCCCACCCAGTCCCCCGTTCCCAGCTGGACACCTCAGACCCACTCTCAGCTTCGCCCCATCCAGTCATCCCAACCCTGGCAGAGCCCCCAACCCCACCCCAGCATTACCCGGTCCAGCCCCGCATTCCAGCAGAACCCCAAGGCCCACCCCACTGGTGCATCATGGGAGATATAGTCCATGCAAGGGAAACTTGCACAGTGGAGAATGGGGGCTTGAGGCTCCCAGACTATAACTCCCATGATGCCCTAACAGCAGCTTTTCCCCCAAAATTTTTGAGCAAAACTGAAATATTATCAGAATTTAAATTTTTGCCAAAATACTGAAATTTTCCATTAAAAATTTAGATAATTAATTTTTTGTTTTCATTAAATTATTTGCATTTCAGCCTAGTTTTCTGTAACCTCTGCCCCACATTTGTAGCCTTGAACCCCCCCTCCCTGAGAGTTGCCTGGCACTGCTGCCCGCCCAGCTGGCTTGTGGCAGCAGAGCTGTCCTGTGTGCAGACTCACCCCACATATTTGTACCCACTGTAGGCGAGCAGGTCAAAGGGCGTGAGGTCGCTCTGCACTGTCACTAAGTACAGACTCAGCAGCAGGGCGAGGACCTCGATAACGACCCACACAAAGGCAGTGCTGGCGCACATGCCCAGCACCTCCGGGGAGAACCTGCCAAGGAACCATGATAGCAAATCAGCCTTAACTTCTGCCTCTGGGGTGGGGTGCAGGTGCTATTTATACAGGGATCCCTTGCCTGGCATTGAGACGCAGCCACCTCTGGAGTGGGGTGCAGGGACCGTTACCAGCACATAGCAAAGCTACACCCGAGTTTGAGAGAGGAAATGGGGGAGAATCCTGCAGCTGACAGAAACTGTAGCAGGGATTTAGAGACAGGTAGAGTCACCCAATCTGGAACCTGGCTAGGAGGACATCTGGGTTCACAACTCAGCTTTTGAGGAAAACCCCAGGTGGATCCTCCACACCTGGGAATCACTGGAACAAAGGACCCACTGTGCTAGGGCATTGGGGTCAGCGCTGCCTGCAAGGGGAGAGCGCCTCTGACAAAGTCTGTGGGACAAAGGTGGGCTGAGAGTTTTGGTGGCTCCAGGGAAGCAGGACCCACCTTTGCTGCAGGCCCAAGGCTATGCCGGCCAACAGGATGTAGGTGATAAAGGCCATGGCTGAAATAGAGACACAGATGAAGCATGAGCTAGAGCTTCCACTAAGGGGAAAACACAACCCATAGACAGGACAGGGAACGTGAGGGGAGGGGATCAGCCTCCCAGGGGACAGTACTAGCTATGTCTGTCTGCCTAACTGACCGGACAGTCTGTCCACTGACCCCCCGCCTCCATTCATGCACCCCACCATCCATTCATTCCCATACACACCCTCTCTCTCTGTCTGACACCTCCCAACTGCTCTCTCTCTCGCACTAGATACAGACAGAAACGGGGGGTCCCTTAGACCCTAGCTACCAGTCCTAGGAGAAGGGTCATCAGGCCCTGGCCCCTGGGGCTGTGGGTGAGTGGCCTGAGAGTGGAGGGCATCAGACCTGACTAACCTGGGCTAGGAGGAGAGGCCCCTTCCCCCTCACTATTTGCTTGATCATACTCACTGGGGATGTACAGGTCGGGTGCGTTGATGTCCTGCCGGGGTGTCAGGGGTGTGTCCCTGCTGTACCGAACCTCCCAGTTCTAAAGAGAAGGGAGAGTAATTAGATACTGCCTCTAAGCCTTGCAGATCCTTATCCATTAAGCAGGGGAAACTCAGGCACAGACATCATCATCATCATGCAATTGAACCAATGGCAGAACCCGGACTAGAATCCAAGAGTCCTGGTTTCCCAGGCAAACCCCCCATCATCCCCCCCAGTATCCCACTGAACCACAATCTCCTCCCAGAACTGCAAATAGAACCCATGAGTCCTGGCTCTCAGCCCATGCTCCTCTATCCCACTTGATCCCATTCCCCTCCCAGAGCTGGGGAGAGAACCCAGGAGTCATGACTCTCAATCCCACAGCTTCTGCATCAGGATAGGGGGGAGGGATAGCTCAGTGGTTTGAGCATTGGCCTGCTAAACCCAGGGTTGTGAGTTCAATCCTTGAGGGGGCCATTTAGGGATTGGAGCAAAAATTGGGGATTGGCCCTGCTTTGAGCAGGGGGTTGGACTAGATGACCTCCTGAGGTCCCTTCCAACCCTGATATTCTATGATTCTATGTGCGGCAAGGGCGTCCCGTACCTGGTGTGCATACGGGAAGAGCAGCAGCGCCAGCTTCTTGGTCACGTAGGCAGTGTCCACAGCGAAAAAATATTTGAGCCTGTTCACGGACATGAACCTGTGGATCTGTGCAGGGAGAGAGACGGGTTATGGAACCAGAAAGGGGACTTGGGACTTACTGTGCCAGGAAGAGCAGGGGGTCGTGCTATGGGGCATAATGGAGGACTAATCACACCAGGCTGCACAAGGAGATTACTGCACTGGGCAAAATGGGATGTGTGTGACAGGGGCTTACTGCGCTCGGGGCATCCTGGCAGGACAAAGCCCATCACTAGTCAACTAGTGACACCTCCCCATTCTCCTGTGCGGGCCAGATCCAATTTATAGACAAGAAACTGAGGCAAAGAGACAGGAAGGGAACCCTGGAGTCCTGGCTCCCAGCCCATCCTGGCTGTAATCCACTAGATCCCACTCCCCTACCACCGCCAGGTATATAACCCAGGAATCCTGGCCCCCGAGGTCCACTCGCCTCCCAGAGCTGAGAAAGGAACCCAGGAGTCCTGACTTCCAGACCCCTCACTTTAACAAGCAGACCGTGCTCCCTTTTGGGAAAGGACCATGGAGACTCAGTTCCCTCTGCCCAGCAGAGGGGGTACTGCCACAGTAGGGGAGGACTCTCCCGACCATGGGGGGGGCAGGGTATGCAGACTCCAGGGGCTGCAGAGCATTCAGCACCCCCAATCTGCCCAGCCCCCTCCATTCTAGCCCTGTGCAATGCAGGGGTCTGGGTCTTGTCCTTCCTGTACCTCCTTGTGGACAATGTCCTTGCTCTGGCTGGCGATGGAGGAGCCATACGCCACGGCCACGTTAGCCATTGGGTCAGCCAGTAGGGTGTTGAAGCCCATGTCGATTCCTGAGGTGGGAGTGCCTTGTGCATGTGGGAAACCAGCACTGGTGTCATCGAAGAGCTGGTGCGGGTCCGGGGCAGGAGGGACCATGGGGCCCCTGACTCGGTGCTTGGAGCCTGCAATACATATGAAATCAACGTTGATCAAATGTGCAGACAACATGCAGATTGATAAACAATGACTGGGCCAGGGCTGTCATACAAAGCAAGCTGAATCGATTGGGGAGCAGGGCCCATTCAGACACACTATATTTTAATCAGCCAAAATTGGCAACCCATCTAAGAACAAGGGGGTCAGGTCGTGCCGATCGAGCTGGGACTGTTTCCTGGAGAGCAGTGACTCTGGACAGGATCCAGGGGTCAAAGTGGACAAGCAACTGACTATGAGCTCCCAGTGCCACGTTGTGGCAATGAGGACCAAGGTGACCCTTGGAGTCACCCAATCTGTAACCAGAGTAGGTGTAGGTAGGAGCACACAGCACTGGGTAGACCCTTACTGGAACAGGGCATCTGGTTCCGGGGCCACAGCTTGGAAACCGGAGGAGCGTGCAGAAAGGAGCCGTCAAAGCGACTTGGGGGCTGAAGAATAAAGTCTCTCACTCGAAGACTTTAAGAGCTCCAGCTGCTCAGCCAGAAGATCAAGACTTACTCCTGGTGTCTAACTGCCTTGCTGGGGAGCGGCGAATGGGACGCAGCTGGGAAATAGGGACACGCTGGTCTTTTCTTCCTGACGTGGGGTGGGGGGGCCACTCTACCGTGTAACTAACTCACGCCACATCACAGCAGGCCTGGCCGTGGCATCGCCCCTCCCCACACAGGGCCTGGGGTCCCCCCACCCCAGCTCCTGCAGGGCCCTGGACGGTGTCAGGAGGGCTGAGCCCCATTACACCGGGCGCTGCCCCCAAACCACCCTGAGGCTCCCTGCCCCAGCCCCAGCCCCGGAGAGACCCCCGAGAGCCCGCTGGGGTCCAGCCCCCACAGCTGCCCACGCGCGGGGCCAGGGGAGCCCGGAGCGGCGGGAACCCGACGCCGCGGCGGAGACACCAGCCTGGCAGGGGCTAGCGCTGGCCCGGGGCCTCCCGAGGGAGGCAGCAGCGGGGACCGGGAGGGGGGGCGAACGGCCCCCACCCCCCACTGGCCCAGCCCTCAGGAGAGGGCGCGCCCCGAGCCCCGCACTCACCTTGCCCCCCGTAGCCCTGGTGATAGGCCATGGCGGGCTCAGCGCGCGGCCAGCCTCCGCGGGGCTTTGTGGGTATGAATAACAATGAGCTGCGGGCCCCCCCACGGGCGCTTTCACGGGCCCTTCGCTCGCTGCGGGCGCCTCGTACCGGACCCGGAGACCCGGCAGCGGCCACGTCCCCGGCCACACGCTCCCCACTTCCCATTGGTCGCCGGCGCACGTGGATTGGACAAACGGTCACACTGATTGGCTCAGGAGATATCAATCCAGACCCAGTTGTTCCAATGAGAAGTCAGAGGGCAGGATGTGTGGCTGCAGGGAGTGGCGCATGCGTGTTTACTGCGGATGAAGCTCTATGTACCAGGAGTGTGGGGGCGGGGGCCAGCAGTTGCGAAAGGGCAAGCAGAGCGGGCGAGGGAGTAACTCAGCCAGGGTTCTGCATACTAGATCCATGCTCTGTACAGAGGTTAGTGGCTACTGCCAACCAGTGCCCCCCGCACTGCACATACAGTCACAGATGTCAAGGCCAGAAGGGACCATTGTGGTCATCTAGTCTGTCCTCCTGCATGTGACAGGCCACAGGACTGTCCTAAATTAATTCCTGTTTGAACTAGAGCAGCTACTTGAGGGGGGGGGAAAACACTGATTCTTGATTTAAAAGTTGTCTAATGAAGAATCCACCATGAGCCTTGGGAAGTTGCTCCAATGATTAATTACCCTCGCTGGTAAAAAAAATTATGCCTTCTTTCCAGTCTGGCTCTGTGTTGGTTCAGTTTCCAGCCATTGGATGTTAGATCTCTGTCTGCTGGATTTAAAAGCTCGTTGTTAAATTTCCATTCCCCATGTAGGTACATATAGACTGTGATCAAGCCACCTCTTAACCTGCTCTTTGTTAAGGTAAGCAGGTTCAGCTTCTGGAGTCTCTCATCTAAGGCACATTTTCAATTCTTTAATCATTCCCTGACTCCTCCCTGGGCCATTTAGGGATTGGGGCAAAAATTGGGGATTGGTCCTGCTTTGAGCAGGGGGTTGGACTAGATGACCTCCTGAGGTCCCTTCCAACCCTGATATTCTATGATTCTATGTGCGGCAAGGGCGTCCCGTACCTGGTGTGCATACGGGAAGAGCAGCAGCGCCAGCTTCTTGGTCACGTAGGCAGTGTCCACAGCGAAAAAATATTTGAGCCTGTTCACGGACATGAACCTGTGGATCTGTGCAGGGAGAGAGACGGGTTATGGAACCAGAAAGGGGACTTGGGACTTACTGTGCCAGGAAGAGCAGGGGGTTGTGCTATGGGGCATAATGGAGGACTAATCACACCAGGCTGCACAAGGAGATTACTGCACTGGGCAAAATGGGATGTGTGTGACAGGGGCTTACTGCGCTCGGGGCATCCTGGCAGGACAAAGCCCATCACTAGTCAACTAGTGACACCTCCCCATTCTCCTGTGCGGGCCAGATCCAATTTATAGACAAGAAACTGAGGCAAAGAGACAGGAAGGGAACCCTGGAGTCCTGGCTCCCAGCCCATCCTGGCTGTAATCCACTAGATCCCACTCCCCTACCACCGCCAGGTATATAACCCAGGCTCTTCCCTGACTCCTCTCCAATTTATGAACCTAATTCTTCTTGAATTGTGGACACCACAACTGGACACAGGATTCCAGCAGTGGTCGCACCCCAGGCCCTGACACAGAGGTAACGGAGCCTCTCTTCTCCTACCTGAGATTCCCTTGTTTGTGCATCAAAGGATTTCATCACACTGGGAGCTTATGCTCAGCTGCTTATCCACTATGACCACCAAGGCTTTTTCCAGGGTTAACAGCGACCCCTCTCCTGCCCCTGAGACTGCTGTACATCCCACAGCTCTGTCAGGTACACCTGCAGAGCCAGGAAAATATCAGAAGCATATGAGTGCACGCCTCCCCTACACAATACCCTGGGGAAGGTGCACTCAGCTACTGGCCAATAGCAATTGGTGTGAGGATCCTGATGTAATTGTGGGGAATTGGAACAATAAATACACAGAGAAGCGGAGGAGCCTGAGGCAGCCACCAATGGGGTTTTTGCTGGCCACAGATGTGGGGGATGGGGAGAGTTCATATCTGAATAACAATTTAGCACATTTTTAAAAACAGAGCCTGCAGGAATTAGTCAAATCCCATGGATCACTGGGAGACTAAGCCCATTTGCACCATCTGCACCCATCTGCACCCCAAAGCACATCCCCACTTTGGGCCACTGACTCCCACCCTCTCACGGCCCAATTGGCTGGCCCCAATTGCAGGTGAAGTTATTCGCTACTGGTAGTAGACTCTCAGTGCGTGAAAGTCATCCCCACACTGGTGACTTCAGTGGAGCCTGGTCAATTTCCACCTGCTGAGAGCCTGCCCCAGAGGGGTCTATGTAAAGTGCCAGTTCCTGGAGTCCCAAGATTACAGGGTTTTGAGTAAAGTGACTTGCTTAACTCACCGTCCCTTTTGGACAAGCTGAACCTTCGCCTAATAGCAGGCATGACTCCACAATGCCTGGCTGGAGAGCCCTGACCACAGCACGGGCTGGGGGCTGTATCCAGGATTGCAGGGACTCATCAGTGCTGGTGGAAATCAGCTGAGCAGGAGCTCCCAGTGCCAGGCTGTTGGTAGGAGGGTGAATGTGATCCTGGCATGTCTGAGGGACATGGAGCAGGAGCTGGGAGGTGAATCCCCTCTACAGCACACAGCACTGGTGAGACCGAGACTGGATCTTACAACCCACATCCAGTTACCATTCTTCCAAAGGCTGGTGACAAATCAAGGGGAGCCTCAGAGAAGAACCACAAGAAGGATCCGAGGCCTGGAGGACCTGCCTTGCAAGGAGAGTCTGGTGGAGCTGCATTTAGTTTATCCCAGAGAAGGTACCAAAGGGGCTAATCCTGGCCTTTCAGCACCTCCACAGGGAGATTTCTTGGAGCTGGGGGCTCATTAATATCACAGACTGAGCAAAAGCTGAGCAAGAGCCAAGGGCTGGGAGCCAGCGCCTGACACATTTAGCCTGGAACTGAGGGACACATGTTCAACAGGGAGAGGGGACTCACCCTTGGAACAACTGCCCCAGGGATGGGGGAAGGGGGTTCTCCATCAAGTGAGGTCTTTCAATCCAAACTGGATGTCTCTCTAAAAGCTCAACTCCAGTTTAGCCAGCAGCTCTGGGTGGGGTGCAGGGATCCATGTGGGGAAGTACCCAGCCTGAGTGATTCAGGAGTCAGGATGGAGGATGAGAACAGGCCCTTCTGGCCTTTGAATCTCCCATCCATAAATCCTGTGGCAGGGAGTTCTGCAGCTCACCCACTGACTCTCATGCCAATCTCCAGGGAATCTAGTTCTTTGCACACTGCACAAGGAAGTCTTGCATGCTGCACATGTTCTCTGAGATAGGGGCTCCCTTGCCTGGGCACTGCCCCCTTGTCCTGGCACCATGGGAGCTGCAGGGAGAGATGGAGAGGAGGCCTGGGGGGAGGGCAGTGGAGCCAGTCTCACTTCTCTTACCTGAGCAATGGAGTCCATGGGCAGTCAGGACCAGCCATTCTGCCAGGGGCATTAGGGGGAACTGAATTCCTATCCATCTTAGGGACCATCTCCAAAATGCAACAACATGGGGGTTGGGGTGGGGGAGGGGAAAGGAAGGAGGCATAGTCTGACTTTGGTAATGCAGAGCTGAGACACCTTGCACCCCGAAGGGTATTGGAGAGCAAGGGGAGTGGGGATTGTAGGCACAGAGGGGGGGCAGGAGGCACTGGGGATGGTGTCAGGGGGGTGCAGGTTGGTAGGAGCAGGAGGCACAGACTGGGGGGTTGCAGGATGGCACCTGGGCTGGGGGAAGAGGGTCAATTAGGAGCATGATATGTGGGTCGCACTGAGGGGGTGAGGTATGGGGGTTCCGGGGGCACATGCAGGTAGCATAGGGGGTGAAGTGCAGGGACAGGAGGTGTGGGTTGCACTGGGGGGTGAGGAGTGGGGGTTCAGGGGACACATGCATGTAGGATGTGCAGGTAGCACTGGGGTGCAGGGCATAGGGGGTGCAGGGACAGGGTGGCACTGGGGTTGCAGGGCCCCCGGGCTGAGTGATAGCAGGGGATGAAGGTGGTGCAGAGGGAGAGAGGGGATCACAGGAGTGGGGAATGTCAAGAGGCATAAGGGGCGCAGGGCACACGTGAGTGAGAGCAGAGTGTGCTTGTGTGTGTGTGTGTGTGTGTATGGCGGGCAGGGGGGCACACTGGCTCTGGAGCACAGGGCTGCAGTGTAGGGTGGGTGGCACGAGGGGATGGGGCAGAGGGAGGAAGGGGGCAGAGCGGTGCAGGAAGGGGAGGGGTGGGGGCACAGGAGACCCCTGGGGTGCAGGGGACATCAGGGCCCTGGGTTGGGTGGCAGGGGAGGTGGGCACCTGGGTGCACTGGAGGCGGCGGAGGGTGGATGTGGGGGGGCTCTGCCTGGGCGCACGGGAGTAGGGCTGCGGAACCGGGGGCGACGGTGTAGCCGGGGCGCAGTGCTGGGCAGGGGAAGCTGGGCACCGGGGCAGGAGGGAGGCGGCCCCGGCGCCGCGGGCAGGGCCCCGCCGGGGGAGGCGGAGCAGGCGCACGGAGCAATCGGAGCGGGGCGCAGAAGATGCACCAGGCGGGGAGGCGGCTCCGCGCTCGGGCCGGGGCGCGCTGGGTCTGACCCCGCCATGGTGCCCGCGATCCCGGCTGCCGCAGCCCCCAGCAACAGCCATGCTCGGCGAGGGGGCGCTGCCCGGCCCGCCCGCCGCGGGGGACCCGCACCGGGAGGAGGTGAGCGCTGGGCCCGATCCTGGACCCCCCACGCGCAAGGGGTGGGTGCTCTCCCCTCAGGGGCTAGTTGCGGGGGGGGGAAGCGCTGCTGGGAACTCCCCCCCCACCCAGGACAGACAGGCAGGGCGTGGGGGGGTGTTTGCGTGTGAGTTGGGGGGTAGGCAGCGTTGGGGGGGGGTGGGAGGTGGGGGCTGGGGGTAGGCGGGGCTGGGGTACGGGGAGACAGGCGGGGTTGGGGTGTATGGGGCTGTGGACGTGGGGGTCAGGGCGATTCCCCCGCTCCGTTCCCCCGGCATTTCGGTAACTCGTTACCATGTGGAGGGACGATGCACCGGAATCACCGGGGCTGGATCGGGCCTGGGGGACCCCGTTGGCCCGGGGTGTGGGGGTTGCTGTCGGGCCCGTCGCGGGGAGGCGGGTCGGGTGCCGGGCTCTGCATTGCAGCAGAGCGGCTGGGGCTGGTGGCGGCGTCTCTTGCTGGGGCTGGGTGTGGGGGGAGGGGGAGGGACCGTGAGGGGCTCGATCGGGACAAAGGCAGAGATGGGGGGAGGGCTTGCTGGGGCTGGCATCCCCCCGGGCCAAGCGTGAGGGGGGGAGCCCTTGTTTTCTCCGCCCCCGCCAGTCCTGCAGGGAACACGGGGGGGGGGGGGTAATCGCAGAGGCAGGAGGAGACGTGCGGGGCAGTTTCGATCCCTGCGTCTCCCCCCATCACATCCCTGGGCCCACCCCTCCATTCCCAGCTCTGGGAGGTTGGGGTCCAGTGGCAGGGAATGGGGGCTGGGGTGTTGGCAACCCCGACTCCTGGGTTCAGTTCTCAATTCCAGGAGAGGCCTGGGGTCTAAAGCAGGGGGCGGTAGGAACCAGGACTCCTGGGTTCTGTCCTTGGGCCTGGGAGGCAAGTGGGGGCCAGGCAGTTAGAGGTGAGCAGAGGTCCAGGACTCCTGGGCTCTAGGCCCAGTTCAGGGTGGGATCTAATGGGCCAAAGCCAGGACTCAGGGGTTCTATACCCAGCTCTGGGAGCGGGAGGGATATAGGGGGTAAAGTCGGGTGGTTAATTTAGCCCTGAGCCTGCCCATCCCCCAGTGAGCTCATTGGTGCTGATGCATCTGCATCCCTAGCCCTGCCCTGCCCCCGGGAGTCCATTTGTAGTTGGCGTTTTGCCTGGTGCCCACGAAATGCTGTTGAGGTGGAAGGCGGGTGGGGGTGGATTAGATGCTCGCTGTGGGCACAGCTGGGCCTTGTGCCAGAGGGGCCATCCCCTTTCCAGCCAAGAGCCTGCTCATGGGCATTCTGACTGGCTAGTGCTGTCTGGCCTGGGCCAGCCCTTTCGATAGTTGGAGGTTGGAGAGCGGGTAGGGGACAGGTGGCCTTTCCTCTCCAGGGGGCAGCAGCTCTGCGGGGACTGGCGGGCGTGGGAGGAAAGGAAACGGGACCTTCCCCTGTTGTGGGGCATGGACGCTGATCCAGCCTCAGGGCGAGGGAACAGGGAAAGGGACCCAGGGCCTTTCCCCACTAACTGTGTTTCTCTCTCCCTGGAGCAGCAGCGCCCCCTCAAGCAGTCCCTGAGCAGCTCCCTGTGGCGGGAGTCACACTGGCGGTGCCTCCTGCTCACCTTGCTGATGTACGGTTGCTTTGGTGCCGTGGCCTGGTGCCACCTGTCCAGCGTCACCCGCCTGGCCTTTGATGGAGCAGCCCGGGGAACCTCCACTGTCTATCACGCCAGCCCCTGCTCCGATGGCTATCTCTACATCCCGCTGGCCTTCCTGGCCATGCTTTACCTGCTCTACCTGGTAGAATGCTGGCACTGCTCTGCCCAGGCCCGGCGCCAGCCCCGGGCCAGCACGGCCAGCGTGCACCAGCTGGTGCAGCGCATGCAGCAGGCAGCGCCTTGCGTGTGGTGGAAGGCGGTGAGCTACCACTACGTCCGCCGGACGCGCCAGGTGACCCGCTATCGCAATGGCGATGCCTACACCACCACCCAGGTGTACCACGAGCGGGTCAACACCCACGTGGCTGAGAGCCACTTTGACTACGCGGCCCACGGCGTGCGCGACGTCTCCAAGGAGTTGCTGGGCCTGGCTGAGCATCCGGCCACGCGCCTGCGCTTCACCAAGTGCTTCAGCTTCGCCAGCGCTCGGGCCGAGGCTGCCTACCTGGCACAGCGGGCACGCTTCTTCGGACAGAACGAGGGGCTGGACGACTACCTGGAGGCACGAGAGGGCATGCGGCTGCAGGATGTCAACTTCCAGGAGCAGCTGATGGTCTTCCCTGAGCCAGGGCGCCCTCCCTGGTTCGCCCGGCGCTGGGCCTTCTGGGCAGCCTCGCTGGCGCTTCTGTCCTGGCCGCTGCGGGTGCTGGCCGGGTACCGCACGGCCAACGTGCACTACCATGTGGAGAAGCTCTTCGGTACCGAGGACGGGCCCGGCTCCCTGGAGCCCCCTGGCTACGGCCGCCCCATCCCACGCGTGGCCACGGTGGACATGACGGAGCTGGAGTGGCACATCTGCTCCAACCGCCAGCTGGTGCCCAGCTACTCAGAGGCGGTGCTGATGGATGCGGTCATGGCAGGCGGGGCTTACCTACGGGGCTGGCAGCGCTGCCGTCGCACGCTGAGCAGCAACTCGCTCCCCTCTTGCGGCACCCGGGCCCTCTACGCCCGCCTGCCCTTCAGCCGCAGCCGCTTCTCGCTGGGCCGCGGCATCTTCCGCAGCCTGAGCGGGGGCGGGGCAGAGAGGCAGCCCCTGGGGAATCCACCCTGCTACCACGACGCCCTCTACTTTCCCGTGATCATCATGCGCAGTGGGGAGACGTGCCCCCCACAGGGCACCCCGGGCACAGCGGCTGGGACGCCTCTATGAACTCAGTGCACGGCCAGGAACGTGGATGGGTGCCAGGAGACAGGAGGAGAGCAATGCAGCTACCCCTGGGGAACAACTGAACCCCCTGCCCTGCCCCGGGGACCCCAGTGCTCGTGGCACACAGGCCCTGGCTGAGGTAGAACTAGGGGAGCTACTTCGCAGCAAAACCAGTGTGTGCATTCAGCTCTCCAGGTGTAGATCCAGTCACCCACTGAGGGCTACGGGGTCAGGGCTGGATTCTGATCTCAGCTCCTGTGCGTGGAATTGGATTCCAGAGGTTAGACTGAGCCCAGGGCTGGGACAGGGACATTGACAGGCCTGTGCAAAGGGGGAGCCTAGGGCAGGGGGCAGCCTTCCCCAGATATGCCAGATGTGCAGGAGGGTATGGAGCTTCCTTTGGAGGTGACTGGGGCTGCCCTAAATCCCTGATAGTTGGAGGACCTTGATACTGTGGGTTCGGTGCCTCACCCCTCCCTCCCCGAGGCTGTGACCCCCATGGCAGAGTGAGGCTGGGGGATAGTTTAATTTCCTCTCAAACCTCCCCCGCAGGGTATCTATTCTGCCCTGGCACCCCTCTCTCCCTGAGGCTGTGCCAAGGGGCTGGTGGTTAAATGGTGCATGCCCAGGGAGGCCTGGCTGGAGCGAGCGTGACAGTGAATAAAGGGACACAAACCCACAGCAGAGTCTGGGTATGTGGCTGTGCAGGGGGGGGATGAGCCAGGCTGTGTGCGCGTGTGCAAGGGGGTGGGGAGTCCCCTGCTGGAGGAGCTAAGCCCAGACTAGGGTACGGCTCTGGTCCTGGCCTGAACTGTGCTGTGCCCGCATGCAGGTAGCCCCCTGCTGCGTCTCAGCACCAGGTGAGGGAGTCCTGTGTGAACAGCCCCCATGCCCCACCCAGAGGCAACTGGCACTCAGCACTGCCCAGGACCTGCAGAGACTCTATTGCAGACCCTCCTGGGGCAGGGCCCTTTAAGAGTGAGTGGCCGTTCCAAGGCCCGGGGGTAGCACGAGCCACTCTGGCAGGAGCAGATGGGCTCAATTGCTCAAGTGCCTTGCCTATGGGTGCTGGAGCCATGAGCTGATCTGCTCTGGGGAATGGAGCGAGCAGTACAGGGCAGCCTGGGAAATGGAGCCAACTGATATAGCAGCCCTGCTGATGCCCCTGACTGCCAGCCTGCAGCCACTGCTATCCCAGCCCTGAGCTCGGCCCCCTGGACTCAGACTTTGGGGCCAGCACTGACTGCAAGGGGCACGTGCCCCCTACTGAGCCCCTGTCCTGCTCCCTCCAGCACAGCACCACCTACCACTGCCCTGGAGCACGGGGGTCAGCCCTCCAGGCCTGCGCAGTAAGAGTGACAGACACAGCTGCTGCTGGAAGCATTAGGGTTTATTGAGGGACTGACAGATGCAGGTGCATCTTGAGCTTCCGCACTGGCTCCATGGGGCCCAGGGCCTGCTTTCCTGGAATGCAGGTCAAACGGTGCAGGGGTGGTGCGGAACAGGCAGGTTAGAGCCCTTAGTCAAGCCCTCACTGAGCCCTATCAAGGCCCAGGGCTTCCCCATCCCTGCCTAGACACTGCATGGCCCCAAGCAGTCCAGACCATTGTCCTGCTGGCTTCAGCCTCTCTGGGAACATGAACAGAGCCAGCTCAGCCCCCGCAGAAGGATGGAGCACTAAAGAGAGGAAATCACTCACTCACTCATGCCAGGGGCAGAGCCAGGAATTGAACCCAGGATGCCTGATGCCCAGCCCAAATTCTAACCCATTAGACCCCACTCCCCTCTGGGGCAAAACCCCCAAGAGTCCGTGCTCAGCCCCCGGAGGGGAAACACAGCACCGTGTTCTCGGATGGAGGGGGTGCTTTATACCCCAAAAATCTGCTGGAGATTCATCCTGAAGTCTGATTCGGGGGGAGCCCTGAAGAGCCCCCCGCCCTGCTCTCCCTGCCGCTGCACCTCTTACTCCCAAGGTGGCTTGTTCAGCTGCCTAGCCCCAGTGCTGGGGATGCCGGCGAGGGGCGGGTTAGTGCCCACAGGCAGGGCTGTGTGTGTGTCCTGTGGAGAACTGGGCTGAGACCCTGCAAACATGCCTTACACAAGGTGGATCCAGACCAGAACTGGCACCCCTGGGAGGGGAAAGGCCCCCTGTCTCACTCCCAGACCCGCTGCCCCAGGGCTGGATTGGAGCCAGCCCCCCTAGCGTGGAAAGGGTCCACGTTAAATCTGCTTAACTGCCCTGATGCCCGTCCTGGAGTTTGTGCACTGAGGCTGCAGCTCTAGCTGTTTCTTGCATAAAGGGTGGGGAGGGGGGGCAGATTTACCTGGTGCATGTGTTGGGACGTGGGATGGGGGCGGGTCAGAGGGTATCTCAGCCCCCTGAGCTGTCCATCTTATCCCCAGCTGCCCATGACCCGTTGGTCTTTGCTGCAAACCTGGCACCCCTAATGCCCTGGCTCCTGGCCCTGCCACCCAAGGGGCATTATTCCTGCCCTGGCAGCTCTAGGAGCACTGTCCCGCTTCTGCCCCAGACACCCCCCATTCTGGGAGCCCCTGGAGCCAGAGAAGGGCAGGGCTGGGGGCTGTGCAGCCCACCAGTGCACGCTGGGATAGGACGGCAGGGTCTATGGGCACCACCACGATGTATACCATGCAGCTCAGCACTGCTGTCTGTACCCCACCCATCTCTCACCTGCTCAGGGACAACTCCTCCTGTGGCTGCCAGCTGGATCCCCCTCTGAATCACAGTCTTCCACGTCATCCCTGGGGGAATCCATGACTCCTGCCTGCCCCAGCCAGTTCCTGGTGTCTGATGGCTGCCGTCGGATCCTTCGGCCTGCTGGTGGGGGGGCGCACTGAGGCTGGGGGCTGAACTGGCCTCCACAGGGAGGGGGCATCACTCGGGCCCATGCTGGCCTGGCACTCAGCCAGGGGAGGCAGGGTGGCCATGCTAGGCTTGGATGGTGAATACTTCTAGAACCTAGGAGGGAAAATCCTAAGTGAGCCAGAGAAATTAAAGCCGCATTAACAGCAGAGGCCATAATAGAACCCAGGCATCCGGAGCCTCAGCACAGCCCCTGATCTTCCAGACACCCAGGAGCTCCTGTACCACCCTCAGAGCCAGGCAGCCTTTATTCCTGTAAATGAAAGGGTCTCACCGCCCCCCCCCCCCACTTTCCCCGGTATTGAACTCAAGTCAGCTCACTCCAAAACCTCGGCTGTGTTTGGGCGGAACCAGGAAACTGCAAAGAGGAACATCATAAGTGGGATTCGATTGGTCTTTCAGCCCCGCGGGCTGATTCCTGCAGCCTAGCGCCCCCCACCAAGCCCCTGCCCTGCAGCCCAGTGCCCCCTACTGAGACCCCTGTGTGTCTCACGGACATCTCCCATCCCCTCCATGCTGAAGGCTGGGGCAGGATCCCATGTCGGACCCCAGGGTGGGCTTGTCCCCTCACCTGTTCTTGGTTGAGGCTGCCCAGTCCTGCTGGTGGTGGTTGCTGAACCAGTTTCTCACATGGATGGGGGTGAGGCCAGTGGCCTGGGGCAGGTGGCACTTGCAGGACAGGCTGGAGTCCTTCTGTGTCAGCTCCTGGGGACAGAGATGGGGATGGATGCCAGTGCAGGAACAAGGTGGTGGGGAGTCCCCTGTGCCCCACCTCAAGGAACACGCCCCCCCCAAGCAATACATGGTCCCCTACAGAGTATTCCCCATCCTAGGTGGGATCATCTCCTACAGTCTATTCTCTCTTGGGGGGGGTGGTGAGGTGGGGGACAGGATCATCCCCTCCTGTGATGGACAAAGCACATGTAAGTGCCCTTAGCACTAGAAGGGCACTTGTAGTTTTACTATTAATCAGGCAAGCTTCCTTTGAACCGGGCAAGGATAGTCGAGACTCATTTGTCATTAACTTGATTCATATTGCACTTTTCCTCTATCCGTCGCAAATAACTCTAAGGCGGCGTGGACGAGCCCTCCCCATCCCCCCAAGGGAGGAACAGACTGTACAGGGGATGATCCCACAGGATAAACATGCCCATTTTACAGATGGGGATCGATGTACAGAGGTGTTACGTGATCTGCCCAAGGTCACATAGTGAGTCAATGGCAGAGTTGAGACTAGCACCCAGGTTTCCTGACTGATGCCCTGTGTACTTAGAAGCAAACGTCATTGGGAACATGAGTGAAAATATGAATTAGGACTGACTGCGCCTAATAAAGCCAACTAAGCCGTGGGTAAATGGCAACAACAATGGGGCTCTCGCGCCCCCTCTCTGGCTAGTCCTCAGAGGTTTGAGTCAGCTATGGTGCTTGCACTTACTGTATTTAGACTGAGCAGCAGAGGCCCATACTTCTCGAGCCAGTTTACTTGCTGTGCGGCTGTCCCCAGCCAGGGGCATCATGTCACATGTGCTTCGAACAGCAGGGTAATGAATATGTCGTGCAAGACCAACACGGACTCCCAGCCAATAATTCCTAATATGGGCCAGATGCTCACGTACAACCGAAAGGAACAGCCCCCCAGTCAGTGGGGGGTACACAAAGGTAGCTTGAAGCACTCCTGGGGCTGCTTTGCCTACACCTTTGGATCCAGGTGATAGGAGCCTGTCCTCCCCTTCGGGTCAAACATGGCAGAACTCCCCTAACATCTGCCATTTTTGTATGATTTTGACCCAACATGACAAAAGTTTCACACCCACTATGCAAGCGTGCTAGGCCACGATGCGTGGCCTTGGCTAGCGCCATGTTTCAGCCTTGGATCCAGATGCCGAATGCTAGCCTAAGCCTAAGCCATAAATCTCTTCCTCGGCCTGCAACAGCTCTGCTTATGAAGTCACATTTCATACCACTGTCATGTGTTGCTTGACAGGGTTTGGCTGTATTTGTGGCTCCCCGTCTTCCACCCTTCTCCCCTGTGTTTCTCCCAGGGGGCTCCCTTCCCTCCAAGTACTTAGTAAAATGCTGGGTTTCCAGGCTCTCCCAAGCTCTTCTCATCCCAGTGCATTAGTACAAAGGAAAACCCAACTTAATGGCACATGCACACGGATGAGGTCCCCAGCACCACTTTCTAAGTAGGGCTCTTGTTCCCGTTGTAAGGCCCCATCCCTTCTGGGGGCGTCTCACTCACTTGTAAGGACTGGGGTTGAGTACTCCACACCACTAGGATACCCACAGCATGCCAGTCGTAGCGCCACTCTCAGGCAGTCTTATTAGACTGGGTCCTAATAATCACTGAGCCACGTGGCTGAGTGAAAGGGTATTTTACGAGGGCCGGCAGGAAAGGGCAGAGGTTGCACCCCCCCGCAGCACAGAGGCTTAACCAGTTACATTTCAAGTGAGCAATAATGGGTTTTCCTTGGGCCAGTCCAATGGAGAGTCAGGGCTCTTCAGGGCTGGGGCCTGGGGTGCTCTCTCCAGTCCTGTCTCTATTCAAGGAAAGAGGAGCTTGCAAGTTTCCAGGCCAGCAGATCACCTAGTGTCTCTCACTGGACCCCTCTGCACTGGCTCCCTGTCCAGCTGCTGCCGCCCCATAAGCTGCCCACAGAGCTGCACCCAGCTGCTGTAAGGCTGGCAGTCACAGCCTGTTTGATGTGTGGGTCTGTGGACAGATCCTGGAGATTCCACTCTGCATCCAGGTTCTCTACAGCTCCTAGCTTGCCATGCGGCCACTGGTCCTGCCT